TTATTGTCAGGCTAACGACCTATCCTCAACTGCGAATTCGAAAATCCTAAATGAAATCCAATGAGTGTTTTAAATTCAAATGGTAATTGCTAAAGCCAACATAACCAGATCCCTGATTCCTCCAGCCTAACTTAAAAAGAATCCTGCCCAAAAACTTAAAATAAAAAAGAAAAAGAACAGACCCTGCAAAGAATTTGGTGCTGCAAATGGCTCTTAGAAACAATGGCAGCGCATTGCCCAAAAATATGGCTCATGGATGTGATGTATTTAACTCTACAATCAAAAATTGCTTCATTCATTCAGTGCCAGTGAGCCGAGCTGTTCGCCAACTTCAGTGCCCGATGCAGCTTCATGCAGGACTTGCATTGCCTCAGACACCTTTATTTTCAAGTCTTCAGGAGATTCAATGAGATGGATAACCTCGGATTGGTCCATTTCCAATAACATCCCTGTCACTTTTGCTGTATGATTTGGTGCAAGCCGCTCTACGAGGGGATACAGATGTTCACCCAGCATCTGTTCATCGCAAGCAATGTTTTCCAGATTAAATTAACTTTTATGGAACATGCCAACCATAAACTTCATTTAAACCAAGATATTAGGAACAGGGATCATACCATGCGCTGATTTTCTGGTGTAGCAGAGGCCAAAGCCGAGGCAAGCGTTGTAGAAAGCGCACCGGGTCGCAGATTATCAATGGGAGCTGAAGTAACCCCAGAGCCATCAAAGGGCAATGGCATCATTGGACTCACTACGCCTTGGGGAACGATAGATGGGTCCACGCCATTTCGAGTGTTGCTCACATATCTAAACCCTTGATTGGAGTTCCGATGCATTATCTGAATAGAAGAAATTAGATAGATACCAATTTTGTTGAACTTAAAAGTTGAAAATATCATTTATAACTAAGGTAAGCTTAATGAGTCACCTGGTTCTGCTGCACATGCTGGAAATTTCTACCCTGTCGAACCCCCATCCTTTGCCCGGGCTGAACCTGTCTCTGAAGTTGGTATGGCATAATGAAATTTGGAGCTACACCAGGGCGCATTCCGGGCAAGAGTTGTTGCTGGAAACCAAATCCAGCTGGTTGAGGTGGCATCAGACCAGGTGTTCCCTGACCATAGTACAACTGCTGAGGGGCAAGTCTAGGCGCCCCAGGATGATATCCAGGAATTCCAGCAGGTAAGGGTCCAATTCTACCAGGTGCACGAATTTGAGCAAAATGAGCCTGCAAAAGAAAGTGAATCGTGAATTTGTCCAATGTTATTTTGGATGTATTTAGCTTGGGAGGGGAGAGTGAAAGTTAAGGAACCAATGAGTAGTGGTCTAAAGAAGTATAACCTGCAGGGCCTTTCTCTCTTCTTTTCGCTGGGCCACAGCAACATAAAGAGGTTTTCGCTCTACCATTTTTCCATTCATTTCGTTCAACTGCAAAGAGAAAAGGAAAAAAGTTAAGTCTACATTGTAAGATAAGACAATAGAAGTTCAGGGGTCAGAACCTCTTTAAAATGAACGAATTAATGACTTACAGCTTTACTTGCTTCCTCAGGCGTAGAAAAAGCCACAAAACCAGAGCCCTTGCTGTGCCCATGTGAATCCAGCATAACCTGCAAACATATATGATACAATGAAATGTATATTTCCATTATTCTCTGATAGTAAACCATCACAAGTGGCCAATTCCAATGCATGGGCAAAAGTACCAACCGTGAACAATCCACCAATTTGCCTATGCATACATGTGTGCACATACTGGATAGGGAGAAGATAAAAACAGATAATTGGTTAATTCGGTTTTGTCATACCTTGCATGATGTAATAGTCCCAAACTCAGAAAATAACTCCTTCAGTTTGTCATCATTGATGCTATCATCGAGATTTTTCAAGTACAGATTAGCACCTTGCAACTTCTCATATCGACTAATTCTTTCCTGTTCAAATTTTGCCTTCAACTCCGCCTCTCTCTCTGCTTTCTTCTGAGCTCTCCCTACATATAACACCTTGTCATCATTGACAGTGGTTCCATTTAGCCTCTCAACTGCAGCAGCTGCTGATTCTGGGCTTTGGAAATTAACAAACCCAAAACATCGAGACTTCCCATTTGCATCTTTCATGACAACAGCACTAGTTATTGCACCATATGGCCCGAAAAGCTGTTTGAGGTCCTCATCAGTGTATGTTTCAGAAAAATTTTTCACATAAACATTAGTAAACTTTGGTGATCCATTTGCACGAGCCCTTTCCTGGCGCCGAACAAAGAGTCCAACATAGACTTGTTTATCATTTATCAACATTCCATTCAACTGTTTGATGGCATTTTGTGCAGATTCCTCATTCTCAAACTGTACAAAACCATACCCTTTTGGCTGGCCAGAGCTGTCAACAGCTACCTTGCAGGAAAGTACAGTTCCAAAGGCAGCAAAAGTGTCATGTAATGCCTTGTTATCTATTGATGTGTCCAGGTTCTTAATGAACACATTAGCATATCCACTTTTCCGAATGCTAGGATCTCTATGAGAGAACATTATACGAATGGGTTTCCCATTCAGTGGGGTAAAATTGAGAAGTTCCATGGCATTAGCCGCTGCAGTATAAACAAAGTTAATTCTAACAGCATTATCAGTAGCAGTAAATATATGTCTTGACTAGGAAGATATCCTGTAACTAAATACCGTATTTACAATACTTAGCCAGCTTAACAACTGAAGCCGCCTAGCAAGGACTACGGATGCAAACCTCTATTTTCACTATGTTCTTTTGATTCATTATATCCACATAAAATATGATATTTAGTTAACATGATATTATATCCACATAAACAGAAACAGTATAATCCTATATTGGAAGAAAACTAGATCATGAGCTTGAAAACCCGCAGGCAATAAACATTAGAAATTAATTCAGCAAAATACAAAACATTGGTCAAATCAAATCACATATATTAGATTCCATGAAAGAATTAAAATAATAGATAATAGATTTGAAAATAATCAGTTTAGTTTTCACGGAATCACTCCAATATCTCAATCGGATGTCAAATCTGAACAAAATCAAACACAATTCATATCGACAAGCGTGGCCAACAATACAATAATATAATTTGACGAGGTGATCAATGACAGTACGAACCATCCTGGGCGCTGCCGTAGTTGACATAGGCGTAACCAAGAGAGGATCGCCTGGTCTGATCCCTACAAACCCTGACGGAGACAACATTCGCCACTTGGTTGAACAGATCATAGAGCTGCCCTTCATTCACATTCGGGTCTAGATCACCAACGTACAATGACATATTTGCGAACTGTCCAGCAGACAATGCCGCTGCCGTTGGCGACATCGGCGCGGGAGGACCATTGGCCTGAACCATCGGTGTAGAAATCGACGCCGCCATGGCTATCCCAGAACAAAAAATTTCAGCAAGTCGATAAAGATGAAAAAAAATACGAAAATTCGGATGAAAATGTCAATGAGAGAGAAAGAAGATGTCAGAACAGGAAGAAGTAGTACTAGGGATATCTCTTCACTGAAAAAACAAAAAAAAAACACTTAAAAAGATAATTGTTTTTCCAGTCAGGGAAGAAAAATTCCCTATTTTTGGTCTCTGAAAGCAGAGAGAAAAGTGGACGGCAAGGCGAGGGAGTTACAAAAGAGAGGGAACTGACTTATATTGGTGGGTGTGACTCAGCGTCGAAACGGCGTGTTTTTCTGTTGTCATTTTGCAGAAAATCGCGGCGTTTTGTTTTGTGGCCGATGCGCACGTGAACAATGAGATCGTCGCACGTGCCAAATGTTCTTTTCCCAGACATACGTTGTCGCGCCTCGAGGCCATAGTAAGTTAATAACTGACGTGTGAAGTGTTCCGTTACGTTGTTGTTCGGAGCCTCGTAGGAAAGATAAATTATTGTAAATAAATTCGAAGAAATTAATATTTTGATCCCCAGAATTTACACTTTTATTAATAGGCCGAAAAAAAAAACATAAAAGTAATAACAGGGTCTTTATAGTTTTTAAAATTTGAAAGAGCTTATGACATTATGAATTTATGATTTTATGGCTGACACGCGTGCTTCAAATATTAATTTGGTTAGATATGCATGTCAAATCTTGCTAGATATAGTTGGCAAAAAAAAAAATCTTGCTAGATATATAAAGGAGCACAGAAGATGATGACAAAAGATTATTTAAAAAATAAAAAAATAGATAAGTTGGGATTTAAAAACTTATCAGAAACAAATGAGGTGACAAAGCTCAAAGAGAAGGACAAGGTAGATTAATTTGTTTATTATTGTGTTTTTATGTTTTTCAATGTCATGGATCATATAAGCAGAACATTCAAACAGTATATAATTAATTTTAATTTTACCAACAAAAGCAAACAAACAAAATTTAATTTTAACAACAGAGACTAAACGAAATTTTTTTCATAAGTTATAAAATTCAATCACAACTTTTAAAACACTACCTCTAGCGCAAAATATAAGCCGCAAGTTTCAATTTGAATTTTCTAATCATTGAATGTATTTTTTATTCCTAATTAATTATATATCTTTCTCATCTCTTTTTTCACCCATTCAGTCATTCTTTCTCATTTCTTTTCTTTTTTTTTAAACTTATTTTCTCTCCCACTTACCCTTTCCATAAATAAGGACATTTTAGAAAAATAAGTTATATTTGTTTTTTACATATTTATTATTTTTAACTAATTTTAACTAACCTTTCGAGTTGTGTAAATTAATTATTTTATACTTATATTTTGAATCAGAAAGTATTGAAAAGAAGTTGAAAATTAAATGAAGTAACAAGAGCAAATGTACAGAACAAATTTTGGATGTCATACTCATGTGTGAACGCGACTATACACACACTTGAATATATACATATATTCAATTTTGCACAATTGGATGTTTGGTTTAACCTATTTTAAGTGATTTTGTGGTCTACGGGAGAAGAATCTATCTTGTAAAACGCAAAGGTAATTTCTGAAAGTGATCCCAAACCCCTTAAACAGTAGCCAACCATATTTTTGTCGAATTTAATTTGAAAAATTATCGTCACTGCTCAAACAAGTTTTCATATCTATGTATTCTATATGCTACATATATATTACCTCCGGTTTTAATTATAAGATCTCGTTTGTAGTATAATCAATCAATTTCATGGACTACACCAATTTTCTATGATCTGGCGTGACAGTATGCTCTTGGGGACTGTCTCTCCCATTATAAATTAGGAGAAGCAAATTCCACATGTTAAACTTGTATCGGCAATAAACCACTGTTGTCTCAACTGCAACACCATACCATATAGCTGCTAGGGCTTAAACACTTCTTGCTCATGAAAAATCCAGCTCCAATGCTATGCTGCCTCCCCAGAAAGCCTGTTATACTTGTTTTCTGCCCTATCAAAGACAATGTCTAATTCTTCTAAGCAAATAATGGACAATGATGAGTGTGAAAATTGCAGAGGAAAAAAAAAAAAAAATCTGTTCAACTGATGAATGAATGTTTCTTGGAACATTTATAAGAAATAGTCTGCAATAAAGCGAAAGGAAAATTACAATAATATATGTGAGTCGAAATGTCATCAATGACCTCCAGAGAAGAAACAGACAACTGAACAATTCAAATATGAATTGCTAAAGTGGCAGCCCAGAAGTAGTTCCCATTCTAATCTCTAAGACATGCCTTACAAGAAAGCTCCTTGCTTTTGAAGCATGGACGCAACATAAGTCCATCATGCTACGTCATGTGAGAGCTTGATTCCTAATATTAGAATAGTAGACAGCAAAAATCGAAGCCTTTACTAGTTAATCATAGAAGCTCTAATATATCAAATTAAGGATGAAAAGAATCCTAGGTTACATTCTATCTTTCCTTTACGAATCTATACAATGGTACTGTGATGAGGGATGAAATTACCAAATATTTGACACAGTACTTCAACACGCATGCTCATACATCTCAAAAGACAGAATTCTAACTCGTCATCTGCTAAAAGCGCTTTGCTAACCCAGAACTTTTTTCCATCTTATTAGCTTCAATGCTAAACTACAATGTTAGAAAAACGAAAAGAAACGAGTCCTATAAACTTGCCTGTCACCACAGCGACGCACTAAGATCAGGTAAACAGGATCTTGGCAAGTAATCTGGAATAACTTCCACACGATGTAGATGCATGTTGTGGCGCTGAAAATTTGGAAAATACAAATCATCCTCATCCATAAAAAAACACACCGATAAGAACTATATAAACATGCACTGAGGTACAGGAATAATTAAAAGGACGTGCATATGAACTATTATTAGAAGAAAATTTTAATTTAATCTGAGTCATTATTTCGTTGCATGATTCTATATGGATCAATAACTCTAGCGGCAGCAACATCAATCCAATGTGTTGCTATTAACTGGTATCAATAATTGCTCTACCGAAACATTACTCATGCAAAACAAAGCACTCATCGGTAATAACATCAAGCAATAAGCATATAACACCATAAACATAACTTTTGTTATTGATGTCAAAGTGTAATTTTTGTTAAAATTAACAACTAATAGGAAATCTGAATCACTAGCATTCTTCATAACGGTATTTTCTCATGTTAACAAGTTTTAAACAATAAACTATATGGGGGTGTCAATTTTGTAAGAAGCGAACTAACCTGCCAAAAGATATCAATAGAACTATCCAAAAGACTCCAGAAATCCAACTACACTCTTTGTAGGCAACCCACACCTGATATTGTACACATTAGTTAAATTTTTGCATGCTTACTCAATTTAACTATGGCTTAGATTTGAACAAACATTATTCAGACGTCATTAGTTACTGCAGAAAGAAAATACAACAGATGATTTTCACCTTCTCACAAAAATAGGATTACTATCATTCATCACACAATTTAAGTCACTCGGTGAAAGCTACATGATGCTCTTGGAGGAACATTACTTGCAGAAATTGTGAAATGAACTCGAAAGTAACAACCTTTTCTTCCTTATAATGTAAAACATGTTGATAAACACAAACGAAAACACTGCTTAATAAAATTTAAGTTACGAGTATGGCAATCAAAACTTTACTTTTTACGAAAATAGTCTTAACTGGGTGTCAAATGTGAGAAAGAAGCAATTTACTGTGCTTCTCTTTGAACTTTGATATTCTAAGTTAATGGCGATAATGTATTTTCATACAACTTATAGCAGCTAAGAGAAAGCAATAGAGCCATACTGCTAGAGCCACAACATTGATATAGAAGTCAATAAGTGTTGCTGTCATCCACCTGCAAACATTTGGAGCTCGTCATTTACTTAAGAGATCAGAGTGAAACTACCAGTTTCTAAAACATCAACCCATACAAATATGCGAAGTTGTAAATATAACACACAAAACATGGCAGATACATGGTTTTGCCTTTTGTCCATAATTATTATACCTAGAGGGGAAAACAACAAAGAAATTTCAACAAGGAAAAAATATTGAAGCCCCTCATTAACTCATGCTATTTTGGAATAATTGTTGTCCACACTTTGCACGCCATACAAGCTCTGAGATATTTGCCAATAAGCACACATGCAAATAACAGAAGCAAGTATTTTCAGATCCTTTATTACCAACTGTATTGAATTTTACCGAGATCATGACATGTGCTTGCCTAGAGAATGTAGAGTAATGGAGGCCAAACGTTTTAATTCCATTTCATTATGACATTAGTCCATTTAGCACCAAACTAGAAGATTGCCGCTATAGTCTTACATTATTCCAAAAAGGAAAAAAAAAAAAAAGAATGATAAAGATTGGCATTATAGTCTTCCATGATTCACAAAAACAAATCAGTCCTTAACATTAGGCAATGGTTTTCCCAAGGCCTGAGAAGGCTCATGGGGCTTCTCACAATTTCACCCATATCAAAGACACAGACACTAGTCAAAAAATAAACCTAAAAAAACACCATGGCTTCAAAAAAGATCAAGTGGGTAAGCACATGAAATTTGAGAAGTTATGTTCCAGTGCTAGCAAAAGAATCCAAATAAAACATGTAAACATCAATAATTCTAAAAATTCTATTAGCGGACGAGAATTTTCCTTTCCGCATTCTTGTGTAACTGCAGATATCTAACACACAGGCTATAGTAATGGAAACCAATGTATTACTTCGTTACCAAAATTAAGATGGATAAGCATATTGCATATAGCCTTCTCCTTTCATGGAACGTGTGAAACAACAGTAACAATGAGAGTAACAGTGAAAAAAAATGAAGCACTTACGGAGTGAAAAGTTCCATTCGGAAAGGGGAACCATCAGTGATGAGAGTGTACACCAAAGTCCCTAACATGAAAAAACCCAAAACTATAAAAAGAATTCTCAGAGTCACAACGGACGAGTGCTGCCTTTTCTGCCCTGCTTCTTCACCATTCCTATGCAAACATGCCTCACAGTGTCAATCTAATTCAGAACTGAATGACAAGTGGAGTAACCACATTGATGATAGAGTAAGAAATTGGTAGAAGTTTAAATTAAATGAGACATTAAAGGTTGTGGGTGCATACTTGTTTGGATTCTTCACAGAACATAATATATAGGATCTTGTGAAGATTCTTGAGATGACAGCTTTGAGAATTGCACAACAATATAGGCACATGTAGCAATGCTGAGACAATTAAAAAGATAAGAAAGCGAACTAAATTAACTATTCTTAGCATTCAGATGATCATGATGATCAAGAGCATCATAAAAGAAACGACCAAGAATTTCATGATCAAGTTGACCTTCCAAGAACCAACCACTTGAAAGGTTGCGTGAAAACAAATAATATAAAAGAGCAGAGAAACTGCCAACTTCCACCATAGATGCAAGCAGTGAAGTGAAGGGGAAGAAATACAAAACTTCTAACCTGGCGGAGAAATTATTTCCAAAAAGACAGAAGAAAGCACGTAATGCAATTCTTCTCTCAACACAAACCAATTAAAGTACAGTTCACCCAAAAAAAAAAAAAAACCAATTCAAGTATAATGACATTTGGTAAGTGGACAATTTAAATTCTCAAACACTCAGAAACCCATTAATATGGTGTTTAGGTATGAAATATGACAAATTCAAGATCCCCATATTGGTTGTGAGTCAAATCAACATTATGATATAAAATTCTCCATATATATCATCCCAAAATATCGTATTGATAAGCCTATTCAGAAAAATACAGATATAACACGCATGCAACTTTCAAAGAGTACAACACTCAACAGCAAAAGAGTTAAATTAACTAATATAAATCTGAAAAAAAATAAATAAATACATTTAATCAGTGAACAAGCAGTGCCAGATCAATGTACCACTGGGCCTGCACACAGCTGTATAAACGAAGACAACATGATTTGGAAGAATGTCATGGTAGACAAAAGTATATATAAATGGCCAAAAAAAACAGAGACAATAAATGTCATCTCTTTAAAAAGTTTCCTCCCATAGTTCCAAGTTGCTTTACATTAATTCTCAATAATATAATACAGCATGTGCAAATAGAATAGGTTGGCTAGTGGTGGAAAGATACCTTCCAAGGCCTATAAGCAAAATTATCCACAAAATTGAGCTGATCCAGTTTGATTCCTTGTAAGCAACCCAAAACTGACAGATAAAAACTGCATGAGTGCTAAGGAATTTTCAATAAAGTTTGATCATTGATTAGAAATAGTTACTAAGTAATAGCCAGTTTGTCATATCTTCAACGAGAGATAAACTCCTTTTTTTTTTTTTTCGGTAGAGGATTTCATGAGAGAAGTGCGAACATGTTAAAAAAATAGTTGGTTTGCTAAGTTGGACATCCATCCCAAAATTTTTAGGGGCATATAGGACAAGTTATAATTCCATTAGAATACTATTCTCAACAGCAAGAAAAAGTCAGTTAAAGCGTTTAATCTCTACAGGAATGCAGATCAAGTTTACAGAAGTAGAGGGAATGCTAACCACGTCACTTATGAGAGTTTAGCATTCTCCAAATTTTATATTGGACCAAAAAGCCGGTTTCTGACTTGAAAGGATATTACTATCATTTAATGTGTTGATCACTCATTTATCCTCTCTAATTTTGGAGTGATTAAACGTGATCCTGCACTCTACTAATGCAGAAATACAAATATCTTAAAAAAATATGCTGACTTACCGCCAAAGCTACAACATTAATATAGAAATCAATCAAAGTCGCCACCATCCACCTGAATCAAGTACAATATGGGAAACTTCCAAAGGTAAACAATCGTTTAACTGAAAAGACGAATCCATTCAAATATGAATCAATGAATATAAGATATTCCACTAAATAAACATACATATTAACAACAACAATAACAATAAAAGTTAATTTAAACCCCAGGCAGATCAACTTTCATATATATGTGGGACAACAACAACCAAAAGATCACTGAGTTGAGCAAACAAGCTTAGAAGTCTCGAGTACTGAGAATAGTACGCTACTCGTTGAACAAAAGCAAGTGAATTTCCGGGTACCGGACGACAAAACAAGTATGACCAAGAGACATTGAAACCGGAGCTCCTTTGATAATTTAAGGCAGTGTTTCGAACCGATGTTTTACATTAGGTAATTGCAAGCTTGAGTTCACTGAGCGCGTTCTTGTACGACCAGCATAAGCATGAAATTAAATACGTGAATTTCTGGGCTTTGGCCCCCAATTTATGAAGATAATAATAACTAAAAATTGGGATTTGAACTTTGACAATTATGTCATACTGCAGCAAGCAAATTTCTCTACTAAAAGAAGTTACCATGTAAGAAAGAGAACCCAGTACGCTGCATGAAATTAATTCACTAAAATCATCAACTTGATCAAGAGTAAAATGGCAGACACGGAGAGAGTTACGGTGTGAGAAGCTCTTTACGAAATGGGAGGCCATCCTTGAAAATCGTATAACTAAGGGTAGCCACCATGAGAAATCCCAAAGCAGTAAACAGAGTTGTTAAGCCGATTGCCAGTGAAATCTTCGCCATGGTTAAGGAAAAAGTTTTCTTTTTTCCCCGGGGGGTTGGTCGAAGAGGAGGAGGAGTTGGAGAAGGCTTTATAAAGACAAGGACAAGGAAGAGCCACGTCGCAAATTGAAAATGCAAGAGAGTGAAAGGAACCAAACTCCTTGGAATTAGAACGCGACCGTGAGAGACGAGACTCGTTCATTTTTCCTTTGGTCATCGTTAACTCGTTATCCTCTTCTCTTGTCTAATCCTCCATTGGCGAAGCTTTTTCACGAAGTCCATCTATGTTTTGGAATTTTCTTTAACTAACAGAAACGCCCCAGAAGGATAGAAGAAAAAACAGAGGTAATAACGGCCATTGTATGGTAGGCGGTAGCGGCCAAAAAAATAACGGAAACATGGTGGACTCTGCAATTTTTTTTTTTTGGTGACATGAGAAACAAAATAAATGTGACATGAAAACATTGTTTAATTTTTAAAGACCAATTCATGCGTCTTTCTTTTTCTTTTTTTAACTTTCCACCCCCAGCGTGCGCGCACCCTTAGCCCCACATGACCACGAATGCGTGTAACTATTTCCAAAAGCTATCAACTATGACCAAAAAAATAGAAATTTGAGTAGGCTGAAATTGAACTAAACTTCTGAATATATCTGTCATACGTCTTTTTGTCAAGAACAAACTGTAAAAACTACCTAACTAATTTAAAAAAACTAAATAAATTATTTAATTATAATAAATATAACATGAATTTCTTAAAATATTTCAATATAACATTAAATTTTATATGAATTTATAAACTTGACAAATTAGTTTAGAAAATAATGATAAATATGAAAAAATGTGAATTAAGATTTTTATATATAAAATCAAAATAAACTTCCTAACTTCTCGACATTAGGAATAGAGAGGTATTTCACGGTGTGCAATGCTACGCAAGGGTTCTTATTTGTGCGTGCAAATGTGGAAAATAACAATTACTCTTTCAGTTCTAAATATAAAACTCATTATAATACAAAACACATTACAAAATAAGCCTCATATTTAAGATTGGAATAGATAATTTTAAAGAAGACTCACTGGATCATCACAAGAAATAAATAAATCTTGCTAGTTATAATGAAATATTAGCATCTTAATCTTTAATTAGTGATGGATCAATATCTAACAACTAATGTGCCTACAAGTATTTATTTTCGAAGCAACTTTAATTTACAAGTCTTTCGTAGGCTGAATTAATCGAATTTCGACCTAAAAGAATTTTAAAGAAAATGCAAGACGTCAACAATTATGCCTAGCAATCTCCATTCGCATAGAAATGGAAACTATTCAAGCGTAAAAGTAAAGATTTGAAATTCTCTCTCAAGCCTCAAAGAACAACACCCTGGTAAATCAATTAAAAATGCTTTCCTTACTAAAACAGGACTGCATTTAACCTTCCCAGGAAAATAAATAAATAAATAAAATAAAGATGAAAGCAAAATTAACAAGCATTAGCATAGCATACAAAAGTGCTCACAAGGGGGGGGAATCACTTGGGGACAAAAGGAATTTGAAAATTTTGGGCCACAGCTTCGAAGATGAAGCAGTGAAATCATAGGCAATTCCATATCAACATGCGCAGCCACCCCTTTGCTCATTCTCAGGAACAGCCTCAGGAATCCCTTGAAAATATCTGCATTTGAGATTCAATCATGGTAGTTAGTGAGTCCAGGAAACCAGAGAACACGTTGTATAGATAAGAAGGCTTATTTTAGATTGGCTTCTTGTATGAGCCTTTTGAAGTTTACGAGTTAACTGGGTCCAAATGATTTGGCATCCATTATTTAAGTTAAGATGTGGACTCAAGAAACCCAGCAAATCAATTAACAGGTTTGACCACCATGATATAGATAGCTTGACCTATCTATAAAAAACTACACATTAGAAAGGCCAATCAAATAACCCAAAAAATGGAAGAAATTCAACGAGGGCATAGGCATTCCCCGCATTAAGAGCAAAAAGCAAATAGAAAACCAACAAAACCATATCAATACCTTATCAAAATGCTTAAATGGAAGAATATTGGTTTGCAGTCACAAAAAAGGGATGCTGCAAGCTTGTTTCTCATATGGGAAGGGGCTTACTCTCACCAATAAGTAACTACGTCTCTTTAACCAACCCGCTATTTTCTTTTTAGTTACAGTTGAATGGTCAAACTTGGGTAGGAGCCTACGTACGATCAATTGTTCTACACCATGGATCCAGATCAAATACAAGGGCAAAAACAAAAAAAACAAAAAAAAGGCCACTCATGCTATTCCACTAAATTCACGTCCAGATCCCTGGTTCAGACTCTTCATGATATCCAGTACAAACAATGACACAGCCTAATAATACCACAAGTACCTAGCATTTAGCATAAAGACAGCTCCAACATATAAGGTCTACCAATTCCCACATCTTCTATATGCACAGCACCTATGCATGAGCAACATGCTTGCGATATATGGAGTTGAATATATAACAAAGCTTTCGGGGAAAACAAACAGATGCAGAAGTAATCTACACACACCTAAGGACATGAATCGTTTGAAGGCATTAGACAGAGCTTCAGGAAGGAATATCGACAACTAATAACCCCTGTATCATTTTTCTGCACGTTATTATTTACTTACATGTCTTGATCATTCTCATTAGCTAGAGCAGTCTTGGCAATACAAAGGAATGCCTCATCAACATTGTAATCCTCTTTGGCAGATGTCTCAAAGTAGGGAATATTCCCTTTTGAAGCACACCAGTCCTGTGCTTTCTTCTCGGAAACCTGAAAATCAGTTTATTAGATATTATGCGTGGTTTAAGGAAAATTTGAAGTGCAGTAGCATCTGCCTACCACTCGACTGTTCCCACCATCAATGTCAACCTTGTTTCCGAGCAATATGAATGGAAATGTCCTTGGATCAGGAGGGTTTGCCTGTATTACAATTAAAATAAGAATTAGAAGATTACCTCCATAAGAAAAGGATGGCAAAAAGATAAATGTTTAGAACAAAGCATAAATACAAAACAAATAATGCAATAAAACAACTGTGAAGTTTGCAGCTGCTATTTAAATTGCTGCATTTTGTCAACAAATGTTGAACACAGAGAACCCTCCTTTTCTTAAGTTGTTGAAAACCCTATGACCCCATCAAAGTGTTATAGGATAGGTAATGCAACTTGAGGGGGTGATAAAAGAGACAAATTATCCATTTTTAATTACAATCATCTAGAACTTGGGATATCAGTTCATTATCATATAGAGATCAATACATCGGTTTGTCATTATCTAGAATATTAAGAATGGGTGAGACTGGGGGCAAAAATCTAACTACCACATCTTTGCCCTGTAAGACCAAGTAAGGATTTAAAACGTTGCCCTATAATTAGGACCAGAGGGGGCAACAGGCACCAGAAATACTAAATTTTACAAGAGGAAACCCAACAGACACAGAGATGCTAATTCTAGCCGGTAACTCTTAGCAAGAGAGAATCATAGAAAATCTCTAACCTCCAACATCACTAGCCTCTCTAACTTACCCCAGTTCATCGTCAAGCAGCAAACCATGAAGGAAATGATTCATAGAACAGAGTCAAAGTATGAAAGAATCAATTGGTTATATCATCATATTTCAAATAAAAGCAATGAACATGGGGAAGTAATAGTATTCTGTAAAAACCCATTAACCTCTTTTTCATTAGTAAAAACTAAAATGTGCAGGAAAAACAAAACTCGCACATTTCATAACTCAATATTTGATGTAAAAAAAACAGCGAGTGGAATGATAATAAAATGATATCATCTGTTGGTGAGTCAAAAAAGAATTTCTTCTTCAGCATCACAGTGATTTCATCTATAATGTTGGTCATGGTCTCTTCTAATCATAACAAAAGCCGCACCCATGCACACACGCGCTCACACAAAAACTATTGGAGTGATGAAAGGTTAATTAGGTCAAATCATACAGAAAATTGCCAGGGTTCATTTACCTGACATTTAAAAAATGATCTCGTTTGAAGTCAGAAAACTAAAGTTAATGATGAGATCTAAAATAAACATTTTTAAATGTTCTTCTACTAAACCAAGCAAACTGATTGTCTGCTTTTATTTCCTCCTTTCTTTTCCCTTTCCCAATTGTAGTTCCAAGCCCAATCACGAACCCACTAGCTAGGAGGCTAAGTAGCAAGAAGTAAAATAAGAAATTCCCTAGGAACAAGGTTACAATGAGATAGGAAAGCAGCATTAAACAATACAAAAATAAAATGTCATCTCTAGCCTGTTTCCCATGGCTGAAACCATGGCACAGACTGTTCAGGATAAAATACAGCTATAGTAGTTAAAAGTTACACAGAGCCTCAGACGTGTTCAATATACAACTACAATGTCAAGATAAAGAATGATCTGAAGAACCTGTTTGAGAAACTCATCGTGCCAATTGTCAAGGGTATCAAAAGACTTCATGACGTTAACATCATAGACTAGGACACAGCAATCTGCCCCTCTATAGAATGCAACTCCAAGACTCTGGAATCTTTCTTGGCCAGCAGTATCCCATATCTACCATAGAGACACACCATGCATTGCAATACACAACTTCTATAGTAAACTTCATAATAAGTTAAGCAGAAAACTGAGATGCCATTAAACAAGAAAACCCACCTGTAATGTGACGAGTTTATCATCAATCTGGAGTTCTTTTGTGACAAAATCAGCACCAATGGTAGCTTTATATTGCAGACTGAACTTCTTGTGCACGTATCTACCCATGTAGTTAATAGTCCAAAGATCTTACGGCCAAGAAGGAAGAAGTGAAACGATGTCCTTAGAGGCTGGACCAGTAAAGTGCGGCATGGATATTGTAACAGAGACCATCCCAGAAACAAGTAAACAAAAGATAACCCCCCAAAATCCAAACCAGACCATAGCAAGCAGCAATTTAACGTAACACGCCAAAGAGATTAGAATAAAGCCAAACGCACAACAATGCTCAGCAAAACACCATAGACACAAAAGAAAAAGAAGACACAGGAGCCAAAAATAGAGTAAATTAGCAGAAAACCACGAACGAACAATCGTTACATCACCAAATAACAATGATTCGGGCAGGCACATCAACAAAGTGCAACTGGTGAAGGATACTGATTCATCAACGACGTCTTTCCCACCCTGACCATGAAGGAAAATCACAAAACGCAATTCCCAACATGTTAACGGATGCGCAAACACAAATAACACGTGTGTGCATTTGCAGATAAACCCTAAGAACGTACCCGCTATCGCCGAGGACGATGACCTTGAGCAAGGTTCGCCGACGCAATGACATGGCAATGGTGGGGAATGGATAAGAACGATGAAGATCTTCCTTTGCCGCTTTTATTTGGGTGATTCTGATTGGTGGCGAACTTTGTACTTGTCAACCAGTTTGTGAGGGCGAAGGAAAAAAGGGGCGCCAATTTCGATCGCTTTCTGCACTATTCCAGTGTTTCCAAAAACAGTCTGTTTCTTAACTTTTCTCAACATTCAGGGGAGAGAGAGGGGGAGAGAATAAATTACCATGATAAATGACTCATAAATACCACCATCTTTCCATTATTAGCCCATCTCATGATTTTTGGATGAAATTAATAATTTAATCCTGTAACGAAAATGGACAGAATTATTCGCACATAAATGGCTATTTATGAATATAAATAATTAAATTATCTTTTTATATTCAAAAGTCAAAACATGATGTCAGCGGGAATAAATAACCTTTTTATCTGTCGTACTACACAATAACAGAAGAATTGATTTTCTCCCCTTCATTTTATATCTTATCGGGTGTCCTTCCATGCATTGAATAAATTTTATAGTAATAATTTACTGCCATTAATGGATAGCGAATTTATTGTTATGTTAAATTACACTGCTAGTATATTTCGGGTTATCTACGCCTGAGAAGTCAGAAGAGCCAAGAATAAGAGGAGTAATTTTTTTGAATAAAAATTTTATATTTTATTTTAAAAATTATTTTTTATGGTATACAAAGTTTATAATAAAACATACCATCCCCGTATCATGAATAATAGAGTAACTTGCTATGTTTCTCAGAATTACTATGACAGAAAAAGAAAAAAGAGCCGAATTAATATAAATATTCGTTCTTAATGTAAGATATATTTAATTAATTTGATTAGATTAAAAAAGTTAGTTATTTATAAAAAATATGACATGTCTTTCTTAAAGACTATAATAATCTTTCTTAATATCTTCTTTCCATCTTCTGGAGTATTCATAGGGATAATTTAAAAAAAATTAATAAATATAATAAATAAATTTTATATTTATGATCAAAATTAACTCAATAATTAGATTCTATTTTATGGGACGAAAGAGTATTTGACAATATTACGAAGGATATCTTTTTCAATCACTTATTAAATGACAAGTCATTGCAAACGAAGGAGCTGCCCGTTTTGAACAATGGGAAATCTTGCTGTTACTGTACCTAAAAAAATTAAAAAAATAGAAACAATATGGAATATACTTCGATCACCAATCCACCATGACCAAATAAAAACATTTGCTGGAGTCCATGCAGGCAATCTCTTGTCATTAATAAGTTCCTTGTTTTATTGCCACGACGTGTCTGCGAACAATTGCCAATTTGCTAGTATTTATGCATAACCCTGAGTTTAAAAATTAATTTACGTTAAAACCTGAATCCATCTTTCCATTCCCGTTCTATCCCAGGGGTGAGTGAATTTTATAATTTTCTATATTTTCCTTACTTGTTTCCTGACCATCTTCATTTGAAATAAAATATCAAATACTTCAACGGTGTATGAAAGTTTGTTCAGGTTATATATAAAAATTAAAATCTAAAGGTCAATTTCTTGTGTCATTCTCATATTAACAAGGTAAAAAATTCACAAATGGTAGAATTACTAATACAATACTATCTCTAGTCCTTAATATAAAACTTTTAATTTGGCCTTAAATATAAGATTTTAATTTATTTTGTCTTTTATATTTATTCATTGTTTTAAAATAATCCCTGTAATAGTTATACATGTTAAAAATTTCACCAAATAGTAGTTTTAGCTCATGCGCATGATTAGTGAGGGTATTCTAAGAAAGATAACATATATTTAATACAAATAACTAACTTAATAAATTTTTTTAATTTACTCAAATTAGTCAACTAACTCTTATATTAACGACTAGAGACAACATAAATTAGTTAACGAACTTATTAGTGGCATAATTACACTGTCAATTTTTGAATGTGGAGAGAAATTACGGGCAAAATGTACTTTTTCTGAAGATTTAGGTACAGTAGTCTTTGTTTTGCCATCAATTCTGTTCATGTGTATTGTTTAGAACTTGAAGTAGCTCATCAATTAAATTTTTATGTTTGATTTTTTTTTTTGGGGCCAAGAATTATTTATGTTTGATTATATAAATATAATTAAAAAGGGAAACAGTTGAGACGCCCTGTGCGGTGCGTTTTAATGCACTAAGCATGAATTGCAGTGCTCCTGCATCCGCGTCGGAGCCCACCATCGCCATACCAAGCAGTGCAAATTGCGTGCGAAGCAATCAAAGCACTCGCGCCTTCCGCAGGATCAGCTCGGCCGTTGGAGCGCGCACAATGGAGGAGGAAAAAGCACCCTTGATTGGAGAAATCGAGGAAGTAGGCACCGATTCTGATGCGGCTCAAAGACATGTGAGGACCAAGGTTCCGGAGGTGGAGATCCACCTGTACCGTCAGGGCAAGGGACCCATTGAAGTGTTCAAGACGACCCTGGGAGGTTGGGATCAGGACCAATTGGAAGTTCGAAATATCCTCGACAAGTATGGCTTTAAATCCATCTACGCGTTCAATCCTCAATCGGGACGCGGCGTTCCCATTCGGTTCAACCCTAAAAACGGCAGGTCGATATTGACTTATAGGGATGGAGGAGTTGTTTACATTGATGGAGAACCCAAGGTGTGTGTGTATAACATATATGGTTGACTTTTCGTGATAGTAGAAAATTGTTAAGTCATATCATGTCTAGAAATGGGGGGGGGGAAAAAAAAAAGGAAGATAATTCGTATAGATTGAGGTTCTATTTAATTCCACTATTAGAAGGGCCAAAACTGTGTTCTACATGGATATAATCTAAACTAGGAAGAGGTATAAGTTGCCCGATATTTTAGATCTTCTGTTTTGGATAAGAATATTTAATTAATTGAGGAATTCAGTAGGTCCTTAATTTGAATTATATTTTTCCCCCTACATCTGTTCTATATGGTTATAGCACATTCATTAGGGAGTAATTTCTTGATCTTATAGCTTGCGTAATGGATGAAAATATTCGAGCATTTTGGTTGAGTATTGTACTGCTGGATGTTATTCTCTGCGGATATAGAAGTATGGGAGAATCCTATGGCTTTTTTTTATGCATCAGTATCGCACAAAGCTAAGGTGGCATCGTTTAATAGTACTGTATATAATTCAGAGGGAATGCGTGCCTTCTCTCGTCGGAGAGCCAAAATCGAATTCATTAATAAGATGTAAAAAACTTTGAGAGGTAAAAGGCTAACACTAATTTCGTATAGGTTTATGTTGACGGTTGGCTAAAGCTTGCGTCTAGTTGCTTCATGATTTTGTCTGTTGAAAAAACGGGGGTGGATTGGTGGTTGAAAACATTTCGGTGGTTAATAAGACAAATACAATGACTTTCAAGCATTGAAGATGATTCCTTGGGGCTTTTACATGCTTAACATGAAGTTAAGGAGTTCATTTGCCAAACCCTTAATGTTGAGGCTCTGCAAGTTGTTCTTTTGAAGTGTTGCTGGTGACCTGTTCTGGTAGAAACATTAGAACTAGGATACCCTATCAGGGGCTCCCTAGACGATAATTCTCGGAGTTGTTTTCAACAGGGTTCTCTCAACCTGAGAGAAGGCTTTGAGAAGTGAATAGGAATACCTCTAAAATTGGGTTATCGCAGTCAAAGAGAAACTAACTCTCTATCTCCATTAATCACTGGAATTTAACTGACGCCTTTTGTTTGTTGGTTGGCCAAGAGGGGGAATCCATCTACATGAGTCATTTTATTTTCTGGAAACTGACTTGTTGGTATAAATTTAGATGCCTTATCGACAGTTCTAAAGTAACTAAGTGAGCCCTTTTAGATGTGAACTACAGTCCCCCGAGCCTTGCTTCGATTAAGTGCATTGGGATTTAAATAGGTTATCTCTTGTTTTACAGATAAGCATCAAGACTCGTGTATCTCAATAATGAAATCCTCTGAGGGATCAGCTTGACATTTTCTCTGTATCTTATTAAGTGAAACATGTGAAAGTTTTTCTTTCTGTGTGATATGACTTGTGTTTAGCTCCTCGAATCACTAAGAGTCTGGGAAAAGATTTTAGAGTTAACTTTAGAAATTAAAATTTTGAAGGACAAAGCTGATCTTTTTTTTGTCATTGTGTTCCAAGTCTTGTATCCAGTTTGTAACATAATGTGATTTACATCATGTGTTGATTTCTTTTTCTTTTTCTTTTTCTTTTGGCAGGATTCGTTGATTAAACCAGTGACCAAGATCTTGACTGGGGTGGCATTAATAACCATTATGATTGTACTGGTTTCCAAGGATATTCCGGAATGGATCAAGAAATTAAACCTTTTCGGTGGAGACTTTCCTCCATGGATCTTGGCTTGTGCAGTTATTGTTTTCACCCGCATGAGGAAGAGAACCAAACACGTCCTGAAGAAGTTTGGTTGGTGAACGGACAGAGCTCATGCTCCTGTGGTCGGGTTTAATGGATTTCTGTACGCTTTCAGGTTTTTTGTAAGATGGCATATTTTCCCCATTTAAATACATCTTTTTCTATAGAATTAATGTCAGTAAGTATTATTGATAATAAGTAATAGCGCGTTCTGGTTAATTTTTTTGTTTATGTTTTTTTAGTATTTCTGTATTTATTTTCATGCTGTTCTGAGGCATATCTGGTTAAAGGTTTCTTCGACCCCGATTCTACGAAGAAATCTTATGTTTTCTCTCTAAAATAGTTGCATAAGAACTGATATACTTGTACGCCTGCCAAAGTTAAGGTCCGACTAAAATTCAATCTCTTAAGACGTGGTCTTGTTGGCACCTCAACAAGAGTTGATTCAATTATTAACAGTAAATTGTGATTCCGTTGATAAGATTGGAGTGTGTTTAAACCTGTGAACATTGGAAATGGCTTCTCTCCAGTCGGTGGAGAGATCCCATTACAACTGTAAACCGCTATACTAAATTTAATGATGCAGATTTTCAATGGTTTTTAAAAATACAGATTAATCCATCTCGTTGAAATTTGGCCACGGTTTAAAACTGACGTTCGCTGGAAGTGGCACCATGGACTTTTTTTTGACGGTCAACTCAGGTTTGCACATCATGCTACGAGTAAACCAGTAATCTTACTGGCTTTAACAAGAGTTGGTTGGGAGTGGGACCGTGGAGGGTTTTTTGCGGTCAATTTTGCTGACGACTGTTCTACACTTTTATTTCATTCGACTGCTACATACATCTTTCAGATTTCAATATTTGGATGTCACTCGTAAGCAAAATTGTTTCATACGCCAAAATTTCTAGTCTGATCTGACGAAGTTCCTATTAGGAATCATTTAAAACTAAACCCAAATAATTGTTACGCATGATTAACAAAACAAAATCATCATTAAGTCAGCACAAACATAATAATATTATTTGGGAGCACATTCTCATGAGCATATTTCATGCTCATCACAATGATAAGTATGGAGTGCTCATAGTAATTTGGATCATCCAGATTGATTTTAGATGGTTTAAATTGAATTTAAATTTTTTATATATTTTAATCAACCTTTTGCTTTGGAAATGGTTGAAAATCGCTTAAGATGGTTTGGACATGTGCAGAGAAGGCCATTGAAAGCCCCGGTGAGGAGGGTGGATCAGACAAGATGGAGTCCCATAAAAAGGAAAAGAGGAAGACCAAGAAGAACGCTTAATGAGGTCATTGAACGAAACCTTCTAGTCAACAACATATCTAAAGACTGGGTTATTGACAGAGCACGATGGCGTCGTGTGATTCATGTAACCGACCCCACCTAGTGGGATAAGACTTGTTGTTGTTGTTGTTAATCAACCTTTTGCTTTGGTAGATACAAAATTTAAAATAAATATAATATCATAACTAACATATCTTTAAAAGTTAAATTTATCATTGAAAAAATTACATATTAAAAATTTTAAATCTGAACCATTCATATTAGATTTTAGATGGTTTATATTACATTACAGTAATGAGTGCATGGTGCTCATAGTTGTGATGAGGACTGAATGAGGTCGTATATTATTCAACCCTTTTTCGCCCCAGAGATAATCCTTATTTATGATCCTTTAAAAAAATATCCAGACGCTAGTTCCCTTGTTTACGCTTCCTCCACCAAATCCTATGTCTACCTTCTTCATCTTTGCCCCATCTCCACAGAAACATGCAACGCAAAAGTAAAAACAAACAAACAAAAAAAAGGTTTGATTTAACTTAACTTATTTCACTAGAGATGTTTCAATTTCTCAAAATCAATCTCCATGCTCGTAATGCATCCCCTGCTCCAAATCATTTTAACGTTGCCGTTTCTCCAGTAGGAAGCAGAGGCATCTTCCCTGATGGAATATGTGATTGGTCATCTCGAACCGTTCATGAAATAGTTGACCACAAAGAAAGTACAGAGCAATAAGCCTAACAAAGAAAGTAATGGGGAAACAACTTCCAGGACCATGTCTTGTATTCTGCCATACAGGAGTAGGACCAAAATATTAATTTTTAATAATGCCAATAACTCGGGAAAATGTGGTTTTAGGAAGAACCAAGGCTCAAGTAATAAAGGGAAAACAACCAATCAGTAAAGCACAAAAAAGACTTTCGAGACATTTCAGGTCTTGAGCAAGGAGCATGGTTATATGTGATCCAAAGGAGTGAATTCAGGAAAAAGAAACAAAGTACAGATAATATTGTAGATTATCCCATCAGAGTTTAGCAGGTTCCATTCTCCGTTGAATGTTCAAATTTGCTGAGACTAAATGAAGAATCCAACCATTCTGAGCTCTTTGCTCGTTCGACGTAGTGTGTAAACTGTTTCTTAGCATCAGGAACATCCAAAGCCAAGTCATCAAGAGATTCTGCAAGCCTTCCAAAGCCCTTCGCCATCTGGTTCATAGTTATCAGTCCAGATTCAAAGCATTCCTTGAGCAGACCCCACAACCTGTCATTCTTCTTCTCAATGATTTTCACCAGAGCTTTCTTGACCACCTCATGGTGGAAAAATGGCATTCCAAGTTCTTTCATGCAGCGACACGCTTCCCTTATGTCGCCTCCAGACTCGTACTCCTCCAGAAGGTTTATAATCTTGTCCTTAACATCCTCAATTTCCCACCCACTTCTGCTGCTTCCTCCTCCACCCCAACACCTTAATATTCTCTCTCCAGAAAGCCTAGCCTTTAGCACTGACTTCGCCATTTGAAGCACTTTATTTCCTATTGAATCTGGACCAAGACATTGTGTTCCAATCTCTTCTAAATGTTGTGGGGCCAGGACTTCGTCCACCACTGCTCTGGCCAGGAACATGGCAAGATCCTCCACCACTACTGGATTATCCAGAGCAGTGTCATCTGCTGATTCTATCAACATGACAAAACCATTCACTACATCATCAGCCGGGAAACAGAGAGATGAAAGCAGAACTGAGGCCATTTCCTTCTCACGCTTCTTCCGATCCATAGCTAAAGTTATAAGTCTCTTGACAAAGATTGCATTGAGGTGCGCAGAGCAAGTGTTGTTTTCTTGCTCAAGACAACTAATGACTTCAAATATATCACCTGACAAGAAGTACTCTTGAATTATGGACTGAGCCTTTCCCTTGAAACTTCTGGCTGCACTTTCTTCTAGTGACTTCTTTTCTGGCTCCAGTGAGAGTGATTTTAGAGATGAAACACATAACCAGCCCTCAGATGCTGCCTTGGACATTAGCTTTTGGAGTATTTCACGTGCATTTGGTATGTCGAGTGATAAGTCATCGACAGTGTCAATCAACCGATCAAAGCCCTTTGAGGTTTGACTGGAGTTGATAAAACCTTCTTCGGCTGCTTCTTTCAAGAGATCTAGTAGGGGACCTTCTGCTTGGCGCCTCTCCATTGCCATTATAAGAGCCCGTTTCACTATCTCATGATGATAGAATGGAACTTTCAAATCCTTAATGCATCTAAAAGCTTCTTTCTTATCACCACTTGTTACATATTCTATCAACAAATTGTTTATTCTAGCCTTCACATCATCAACTGTCATATTCTTACTTCCGCCCCACCGGCGCTCTATAACCTCTGCATGCAGAGGAGCTGCAAGGTAGTTTTTCTCTGCCTTTTTCAAGACTTCTAACCCTTTTGAATCCTTTGGCAAGTAAGCCATCTGTTTCTTCAAAAATGCAGGAGGAAGTATGTCATCAACCACAGCTCGAGCCAAGAAAAGCGCTAGAACATCAACTGCATCTGGTATGTCTACAATCAGGTCATCTGCAGATTCAACTAGTTTACTGAAGCCCTTGTAAACTTGAGAAGGATCAATTGTGTCAGCATAAAGAGAAGATAGCAGAACAGCAGCCATTTCTTTTTCTTTGTCGTGTCTGTCCATTGACATTGAGACAAGCTTTTTGACAAAATAGTAGCTAAAGTATGGTGTTCCAAGTTCTTTCAGTTCATTTTTTACGGCAACAATATCATCAGTGGTGAAATATTCCTCCACTATTATGGTAGCTTTCTTCTTGTACTCACCTAACTCCCCCTTCTTTTTATTTTCGTTTGATGGTTCATTTTCCTGCAAACGGCACTTGCTTTCATACTTCTTGGCGTTAAGCATAAACACATAATAAGCAACCAAAGATTTGATCTTCTCACATGTAAATAATATGTCATTGTATTTTAATTTTGTACCTCAGTGCTGTCATAGTTTGGATCATGAGGGTCAAGAAAGTTCATGTCTTCAGTATCAAGCAATCCTCCCCACGTGCCCTTACCTCCACAACCTCCTGCATTATAAGAAAAGATTAAAACTTTACTCTCAGACATATAAATATTAAAAAATTATTTCGGAAATACATTTTATCCTCTTAAGCTGAGGCCTACTTAATAATTTTCAACGTTATATATACCTTTCTTTGGTCGTCCATCTCTTGGAGAACGTGATTGCCTTTCATTCTTTGGACTATGGCCAGGTAACCTTGGAGACTTTGGAGAAGTGGGGGATGTTGGTGACTTAGGAGAGATTTTCAGGGAAGAAACGGGGAATGAATCTGCAATTTTTGAAACAGATTGATCAAGCTTACGACACATAAGAGTAATCATATGATATTAAGACATGGAACCTAGTAATCCGGATCAATTATTAGTGGGACTCATGTATGACACGTTTATACTTGTATCCATGAAACAAGTCCCCATAATAATCTGTCCTAAAGACTTCACCTTTCTTGGGACATCCATCTCTTGGAGATTGTGGATGCTTCTCATGATTTGAACTCTGCTTGCCGCCCTTGACTTGGAACCTGGGGGACCTTGGAGAGCCACAGGGTCTCGGTGACTTTGGAGAAGTTTGCAGTGGAGAAACGGATAACGAATCTGCACCTTTTGAAACTGATTCATGAGGTTTGCGATGCTCCTTTGCCGTAGAACCATTACTGATATCCATCACATCCATTTAATTCTCTAAGCCTTCACTGATCTAATCTTTCCAGTTGTACGTATAGAAGAGAACAGAATATCAGCACCATCTAAATCAGAATTAAGCTCCAGTCAAGGGCACATTAGAGAAGATTTCAATCTTAAAATGCTTCTTGAATCGATCTTCTCCTTTCTTGGAATAGAGTCATAGGCCATAAACCACTTCCCTTCTGTCCTAAAATGATCAGACAAACTTGGGCATTAGAAAGCGTCAGACAATATCCCTTCAACTCAAGAGCTTCAGATATTTAGTGAAAGACGATGAAAATTTAACATAGAAGAAGCAAATGAAAATAGATCACCTTCCATCAAAAACCTGAAAGAGATGGAGCTTGTAGGAGCTCAAGCAGCGGCCAGCTAAGCGTGTGCGATTTTTACAGTTTAGTTTTCGTTTGATTCAACCTTACCCGAACAAGTAGCAGTTGGTCCCAGATTAGAGGCAGCAATTGAAAGAGAAAAGACAGTGTCCAAAGGTAGTTGCAAAGTTTGAGATGTTTCCATGTGTGTATCGGTGATCAAAATACGGATCTTGAACGAGTTTGTCTCGTTTATGATGCTCCAAGCATGCTATTTCCTTGACTTTGGTTATAAGAAAGGAAAAAAAGGCATTGTTGTGGACCAAGTAAACTGGTGACTGCTAAAATATAGGTAAGGTTGTCATTTGTCAAGTGGTAGTAACTACAATCTCAGAATATGTCAATGATTAATGAATATGATGGAGGGAAAATGTTCTTAAGAATTTCTATTCTTGCCTCTTTCAGACAATTCCATAGTTTTTGCCTAACCCCAAAAATTCAAAATCTGAGCTTTGTCAAAAGTATTAGCTGCACTTGAAATTAATTGTTTGCCTGATAGATAAAAAATTCAAAGAATAATATCCTATATAATCTAATTGAATAAATATTGAGTATCACATATTCGGCTGGGTCAGCAAACCCCCCCCCCACCTCGAATGGACCAAACCTTGTCAACGCTTAAAATATTTCATGTGCATTACAAATTTAATGACTTGAGATTCTTGCTCTTCTCACTCTTAATATTCTCTAATCTTCATATATATATATATGTATATTTTGGTACGCTCTAATCTTTACATATTTATTAAGTAAATAAAATCATCATAAAATATAAAGTTTATGATGAATCGCTTTTTGGTTGTTGTTGATATTCATGCAAGTTTATTTTATATTTTGGACTGAATATTTGCGCAAGTTTAGTTTCATGCTAAATAATACTACTACTGGTCCTTAATATAAGACCTTATATGACTTTTATTTTGGTCTTAAATATAAGACTCCAATACATTTTGTCTATTATATTTATATATATTTTTAAAGTAGTCCTTCTACTAATAAGAGTTCTAGTCAATACACTTGATTAGCAAAGATATTTTAGAAAAAACAACACCTATTTAGGACAAATAACTAACTCAACTTATTTTCTCAATCTCCTCAAATTAATCAACTAGTTTTTATAATTAGGATATAGTAATATAAGAGAAAAGCAGACACCCTCCAAATGACAGGGATCCAAATTTCGCCCACGAACGTCAGCCAATGTTAAGACGGCCTCGGACTTAATAACTACTGTAGTCCACGGCCCGATTGTTGCGGATCCGCAGTGAAGCTGGAGGCTGAAGTCGACCATGTCGCCCAAAGACGCTGACTTTGTAGCCAGCCTGCAATCCCAGATTGATGCTCTTCAAACCAGGGTTAAGGTATTCCCGTCATTGCAATTTCAGTTGGTATCAGTCTCTGTTTATTGCCAGGAAAATGGGAAAACCAAAACGAGGAACTCAAAGGAAACTTTTTCTGGCTTTCTGGCTTTACCTGGGATTTATTAGTTAGACGGGCAATGTTCTCTAAGTACAATGACTTCGGCTTCTCCCGCTTGATTAGCTTACCTGCAAGTATTTTCACTTTGTTTTGTTCTGGTTCTTGTAGCCTGTAAAGCTTAGGAATTGTTGTTGTTACACTTCTGCACTTTCTAAAATATCGTTTGAGACACTGCTATCAGTTCAATGTGCGTTGTTGGCTCCTCTGTAAGTTTTAAAGGGATACGTGAATTACAGAAGAAAGGAACTGTCGATAGTTTTAGTAGGACCATCTAAAGCTTCATGGTTAATTGCGAAGTTGGCCCAGAGTATAGGTTGAGTTGAACTCTTTTGCTTGCAATTTCATCTGTTGTTTTTCTTACTGGACTTTGATTCATAAACCAGGAATTAGAAGCTGAAAATGCAAAGTTATTGTCTCAACTCACAGATTGTAGCAATCACGAGGTTAGCTAATATTTTCTTAAGTTCTTAGCACTGGGAGGTTTATGGACCATCTCAAATTTTCAGCTAGGAAAAATTTACTCAATGAAAAGAAAGATAAAATATTCTACTGCATTATTTAGGGATATTAAATTGTGATGCAGATGGAGAAGAAATTACACGGTTCTGATGACAAACATGTGAAATCAAAAAAAGGAAACACAGAGACAGATGAGAAGATACATAAAATGCCAGGTTCTCCCCATCTATTTATCATTTTTGGATGTTTAGTTCTGATAATACGATTGCCATTGTAATCATAATAGCACCCAGTATACTGATAGAGCACTTGAGAATATGATACAAAATACTACCTCCGGGCTCTGGTCCTTAATATAAAAGCTTGTTTGACTTTTATTTTGGTTCTAACTATGAGACCTCAATCCACTTTGTTTATCATATTTATTCTTTTTTCTATTTAAGGTACTCCTTCTAGTTCTAGCCAATACAGTTGATTAGCAAGAATATTTTAGAAAAGACAACACCTATTTATTACAAGTAACTAACTTAACTCATTTTTTTAATCTACTCAAATCAATTAATTAACTCTTATATTAAGAACCGGAGGTAGTATTAAAGTGGAAGTGCTGTCATGGAATTTGATGTTTGAGGAAAGGACTGTGGAATGAATTCCGTGGCTTGTGTTAAAAGCTGGAACTTCAGAAAATTTATCTGTCCTTGTGGTCCCCCAAAGAAATGAATTTTAGTATGTTTAACCCTCCTCTTGAGGCGGCCCTCACAGAAAAATTTTAAAGTACAAGGAACCTGACAAAAAATTGCAGCTAATTTCTAAAATTGTACGTTATCTTACTTAGTAATAGCATATTGTAATTCGTTTTGTGATTTCATGTATGTATGAAAACATTGTACCTCTTGAGTATACAATTAAGAATTTCTATATGCATACCCATAGATGATATGCACATAACATAAACACGTGAGAATAATTTAATTGAAAACTGTAAGAAATAAAGTGTTCGTCTAACCATATGTACTTTGTCTCCTAGTCCTAAGGATAAGTGTCTGGCTCCACTGTTCATTGTCCATCTATTCTTTTACGTTTGACAGTAGCGGCTCTATATTTAATATGGTCCATTGGTTTGAATAAATGTATTGTACTGTTTTTGGATGCAAAGGTCAGAGAAAATACCTAATGTCAATTCCTGAAAATTTTAACCTTCACTTGTGTTCTTATATGCATAGTATACATGTTTTCAATGTAATCCTTGACTTCACTGAGTTCTAAACTTGGATGCTTGATTTGTTGGTTTCTTTTTTTGCATGGATTTTGCATCTTTCACATGTTTCTTTATTCTCATATTTATTACACAATGATAGTTGATATATATCTTACTTTCTTGTCATGAGAATACAGACTGCTAAAACAGGCTGCATATGTGAATTACCCTTAAATCTTGACACAGGCTACCATTCAATGCTCATCAAACATAGGAAGAGATATGTAGCTCTGAAAGTCATGTACTTTGGAAAAAGGTATATGATGTCTATTTTTTCCCTGGCTTCGTATTCTTTCTAAAACAAGCATAAAATCATGGAGCAGTGCAATGAGCAAAGAGCTAGCTATTCTTTTGCCTTTTACTAAAAAAAGCATGGAAGCTGTGACCTGTAAAGGAAAGACATATATGTGGTATATTTCGTATAATTTATTTTTTAGTGCAACGCAAACATATGATACAACTTTGGGAAATTTAAGGTCATGATATTTTCATTAAATGGTTTAAGGTTTTAATGAGTATTTTTGGGGAGCTTTAGAGGTTTCTTTGGAGATGACATGACTGTGCTTAGAGCCTTTTAGAATCTGAATTTTGCATGCAGATTTAATATTTCATTCAGTTGAATTGGAAGAATCTGGAGTGCTTCACCCTCAATCATTTCACTGTCTTGTTTATATTTATTGAATTAGAATTATATAAACTGTGCTAATGAATATTAGGGTTTTTTGGACTATCTGCTAAATGCAGGTTCTATGGTTTTTCTTCAGAGGCACAAATGGATCCAACTGTTGAGGTTTGTTTTGACGCAGATTTTTAAGCCATTTATTTCCATAAGCTGCAAAAATTCTTCATGCATAATAGCAAGCAGAATCATCTATACTCATCACACAAATGAATGCATATTACAAATTATCCATGCGATGGATAGAGTTCTGAATTGTCCCGTGTTAATATTCAGTAAAGTCAGCAAGTGAATGCCTCTGTGTGATCTATCATCTATAATTTGATTGCAGTCTGAGATTTTTAAAGCTATTGAGAAAACAAGGCTTTTGGTTGGTGACAAGAAGGAGTCGCAATATTCAAGATGTGGTAGAACAGACAAAGGTGTTTCTTCTGTTGGACAAGTAAGTTGACTTGAAATGAAAAGGGAAAAGGAAAAAAGAAAAGAAAAATACACTTCCTATTAGCAATGACGGATAAATATCAATGTTACATGGTTTATAGAAGTTCCCGTTTATACTTTTCCAACTGTTAAGATCGCAATAGCAATCATTTTGTTCCTAGAACCTGCCTTTATGGCATATGCTCGCAAAGTAAGTTGAGGCTGTATAGAGCAATGATAAATAAAGTTCTAAATGCGAGAAAATTTAGAAAATTTGAAGCAAGTTAATAAATTTCCATTTAACTATTCGGCTTTTGAAAGGAACTATGTTAAAGCATCCGTGTTAAAGTTCATTAGTAGTGTTTTTGTATTTATTTAAACCATTTCGCTAAATTAATTATTGATATATGGAGCATCAGTTTTCTGCTATTTAATTGCTTCATTGTCTCTTATGATGGCAAAATTTTGTGAGGTAGCAGGTAGTAGTTTTTCTTAAGATCAACCTCAAGGTATCAGGAACAAATAATAGAAAGCTGGAGAAATTTTTTCAGAGGAGCCACATGGTTAGCACAAAGTCCCTTGAAAAATGAGATTACTTTTTTTTTTTGGTGATTGGGTTGTTGTAAGTTGTTTTTTCAAGATTTATGTCCATTAAGTCGGATATTGATGATTAAAAAAAAATTGGAGGCATCTTGATTTTCAGGCGCTTGTAAATTTAACTTTAGTAATGGTATTTGGCATTTTATATTTGTCAGAGCAAAATAGGTGACTGTTTACCGTATTTTTTTTGTGTCACTGGCTTCTCCAGAATTGTTTATGCCTGAGTGTTTCTGTTTCTTTCCTCTTGAATAAATTTAACATGCCTTTTGCAGAAGGGGAAATTGATTATGTGTAAAAGGTGCTAAATCGAGTCCCTTCCTAATGATATTCGAATTCTGGCTGGTCCGTTGTTCCTGTTGTTTCCATGCAAGGTTTGTATGCTTCATTTGTAACTTTGCTTTATCATTTGATGATCGAGTTGTACAGCGAAATGGTGACAACCAAGAGAAATACGGGAGTAGGGAATTACTATTTTGCCATATGGCATATCTGAAGATTCCCAACCCTGCCCCAGGCTCGTAACAATGGGTTCTTCTTAATTATTCCTATTTGAAACTCCATCAAGTTGCATTGTAATATGGAAAATATTCTCAGTTCACTCTCCAAATCTTTTGTTTAGTGGCCGTGGACCAAAAGTTATTCCACATTGATCTAGGGTTTCAAACTTTGTTATGCCCTCAATATTAAATTAAGCATGAAATGGCCTATTGAAGTCTCCATGACATCTGCACCCGCCTGCTGGACCAATTGATTTACCAAGTCCTATTAGATGCATTAGTTTGAATAAAGCCATCTGGGGCTGACAGATAGGTGCTTAAATGGCGTCTACTAATCCAGCTGGTGACTTTTCTGGATAACCCTGTTTAATGGGTATGGTCATCTCCAGCTTCCCCTACACTGATGTCATTGACTGATTAGGTGATTTATAATGATTTGTGGATACAATGGATCCCTTGCATGACCTCAAAAGGATTTTTGATCAAGGGAGAAAGCTGTATACCTGCTCATTTAATTGAATCCTATCGCAATGATGTGTATCGCAAGACATATTTAAGTTGTGACTAGAGGGTGTGCACAACTATAGGCGGCACATAACCTTTTTTGAGATGTCTCCTACTAATGTGAGGTTAAAATTGTTAGACAATTTTTTTGATCTTCTTCGCTCGTGAGTGCATGCGTGTTGTACTAAATTACCATTGAAAATGTACATCACTGTTTTGCTCTTAGTTTTGGCCTCCGTATTTGTATCAAATCCTCAGAAATTTTAACAAGGGGGCCATTACATTTTATGACCGTATTTAATTCCAACGGGGAATACTTAATACCTGTGTCATTGCCGAATTCAGAGTTATGGTGGCATTGTGTATTCAAAAACTCGCATAAACATATCATCCTTGCTAGATCTAGCAATTTGTCGCTCGCAGTTGTTGTGGACCCTCCAGTCTGAGCAATTTTTTTTCCAATCTACATTCAGTTATGATGATAATCAACTCTGGGTGATGAAAATCAAAGGTACAGCTTTTCTATGGCATCAAGTTCGTTGCATGGTTGCAGTTCTATTCATGGTTGGCAAAGGTCTTGAATCTCCAGATGTGCGTATCCAACATACTCACATATAAATTTATATTATATCTATTTATTCAGATTATCTACGTGAAGATGAAAGGAAACCTTCAAAATAGCAAGTATTTCTATATTGAGCTTCTCCATCTCCTAGCCTGTTACAAGTCTCTGCAGTTTGTGCTAATGACTGTAAATTCTTTGATGTTTAAATGGCAGGTGATTGATATTTTACTGGACACTAACAGGACTCCAAGGAAACCCCAGTATATTATGGCAGCAGAGTTTCCATTGGTTCTTCAGTCTTGTGAATTTGAAGAAATTAGATTTATGTGTTCATCAGGTATATCTCTAATGTTTACACTTCAGAGATGGTTCTTATTCAGGCATCGTTTGCTCATGGACCAGCTTAATAATAAACAAATCAACTCTTTATATATCCAGATGCTGGAAGCCTTGCGATTACACTTGGTGAATGAATGCCAAACTTACCAGCTTCAAGCTGCAATCTTCCACGAAGCTATTCTCAATTGTCTATCTACATCAGATGGTGCGCAAATATCGATTGTGAATTCCATTTCGATTTTACGTGACTTTTTGTTAAAATTATTTGTTATGATTGATGATGCCAATTCTTTTTCCAGATCAAAGCTTGCAGCATTATGGAGGAACGAAGAAGAAAGCCTCCCATGTCCCTCTTCTGTCACGACCAACTGAGCGTGAGTTCTGTCACCTATGATATTAGACATGACTATATGGCGGAACGAGACTAATATTTTCAAAACCGTCTTTGCCACATTCTTTTATATTTTATCACATGCATCCCCTATAACCTTGCAGGTTTATTTTTCTTCCCCGTATTTAAATTAACGAGCCGTTTACTACTCCATACCCACCCCATCCTCTCTTGGGATATACTAGAAGAAAGCAACATTTTTTTTTTAACGAAATATTATATTCTTTAAAGTTATGGTCAAAATGATCGTCAGAGTCATATCAGCTTGATTGGTTTCTTCCTCTGATTGAATTCGATCCAGCATCATATGAGGAGCGGCGCGCCAAATTCAACTCAACATGATGATTCTACCAATCATAATTTCAATTCAAGACGCCTTCTTTGTCTTGTTTTCTATATCGTTTCTACAAATAATTGTTCACTTATTTCTTAAATTCTAGTTTTGTTTTCGGTGTAAGGAGGCATTGTTGGTGCAATTTTGTTTAATAGTTATCATATCAAGAGTGTTCGTATTCTAATTACTGTCCACAACCCGGATTTTGATCGCCAAATATAGTTTAGCTTGGTGGCTTTTGGTGCAGTTTTAAGTGTTTGCTATGTTAGGTTCTCTGATCAAATTATGACACTGGAGACGAATATTTGAAGCAAAAAACTGATCATATGGTGTTGTGCTATGAAACATATCTACCTATCATGTAAGATCCTGCGCTTAGGTTTTATTCAGGATGAACACCCCCGAGGAAGGGAAGAGCCGTACCCTTCTGCAAGGGGCAGTGCTGCTTTTGATTAGATGTGAACTGATATGTTTTTTCTGATGGATTGTTTCTTCGTAGTTATTGACATCAGAATGATGACTCAAAGATGTAGCGCAACTCCAAATGACTTCCTCATTACATGAATAAACACTCAAGAATATTGTATGATATAAATGAATCAAATGAAAACGCATCGGAACTCAGCCTTGAAATACTCGTAGGATGACAACTTGATACTCCGCTAGCAACTTCCACGTTCATAAGTTAAAGACACCAAATCCAACTTTCACATCAATTATGCCATCATTTAGAGTAGAATTGCGAAGCTTCCATGACAATATGAACTAACAAGAGACTATGAAGCGACCAAACAACTTGGGATTGTATTTCTACAGGGAAGCCTAGCATCTATGATCTAGCAACTCAGCTGCTCTAATAAAATAGAACCCATTAGAAGCGAGAGTGTGAACAATTCCCCACAAGAGTAACTTTTTTTTACAGTCTAACTAGTCCTTTGCTGCCCTTGCCTCAAACCCCCCTTCAGGTCGCTTTACAAGACTGTATGGCATGAATGTCCCAAGAAGTTTATCCCATACGGGAAAGAATGGTTGAGAATAATTATATTTCAACCCTTGTAGTTGATGATGAATGTCGTGATAAGCTGTGTTGTTCTCGAAAAACAAATGTAAGATATTGCCAGGCAACCAGAGTCCACAGTGATCGTCGACAGTTTTGACGACTGAGAAGCAGAAGAATACAACAGCTGTTCTTGCAGTCATCCCCGAGACAAGATATGAGATTGCCCCGCCAAAAGTGTCAAGAAGAAGACCCTCAAGAGGATGGTTGTACAGGGCTCCTATTGCATAAGGAACAATCAGCCTGTGATGTTGGGAGTGAACGTGACGGTATAAAAATTTGTTCTGATGCATGTATCGGTGCACAAAGTACTGCCATGTATCCATAACAAACATTGCTATAATGATCTGCACAACTTGAATGAGAAGGGAAGGCTGCACTATAACCCCAGATCCATTTGCTTTTAAGGTCAACTGCAGAATGTCAGGAAGCATATTAATCATTCAACGACAGCCAGAGTACATACAAAATGTTCTTGGCATCAAGAACCTCGAAAGAGAATTATTACAAGATACGTCTGTGCATATGCTGCAGATTAGGTACCCAAAAATTTTAGACCCTGATATCATATTATAATCATTCTGAACCAAGTATACAAAAGTCATTCAAGCTCAGCTTTTTGTCTGTCTATAAACTCCAGGCTCTCTGTTCATTCTCCTGTATCAAGACTTTCAAGGCATCTTGACATTGAACTCGGTCAACTGTGCTCACATTATTTTGAATAAAGCTGTTGTTTTATCTGATATATAAACTTCAGCCTTCCATGATTGAACTCACATCATTTTTTACTTGTCTAAGGAAGGGGTTTAGTCAACGACTAGGAGAATAAGAAATATGGAAAGAAAGAACACTTAAACGTCTAAACAAGAAGCAGAGCTAAGCCAAAGTTTTTAATGAAATAAGATTTTCATATAAGCATGCTATTTACCTAGGAATTTGAACAAGTCTTTATAGAATGACTAACCAAGAAAAGGGCAACAGCTGCCTGGACAAGCTGCTGAAGCAAAACACCCTTCACTACATCTGAGAGTGGCACCAAATTCTTCTCTTCCTCTTCTCTTTTAGTATGCAACCGATAATTGTCAAGAGGTGGTAGCAACTGATAAAATCCACCATATACCCAATAAAGCACAATAGGTGCAAAGGTGCCCATCACTTCATCGCTCACATATCCTTCCCAGAAAACCATTATAGGTCTAACTTGTGAGTGAAACTAATAAATCTGAAGTAGAAAGACTCAGCCAAAGTCAAAGCTGCATTGAATTTGAAGATCTAAAACTAAACGAGCTCACTTCACGCACAGCCTGTAATAGAAATTGACGATTTAGATGAATAACAACCTGTTTCTTGCAATGAGAAAAAAGAGGAAACAGTTGAAAAAGAACTGAGTTTAATTTTGATAAGGAAACAAGAATGTACTTTCTTCTCCTAAGAACACGTCTGTTCTTAAAGTTTAGAAATAGACAATTCAATGCCCAATGCTTGTAGTAAAAATGAATACATAAACAATGCTCAAATAACCAAAAACTAAGTACCACAACACAAAATTCAATTAGGCCCCACTGACTTAATGACTGCATGCGGGCTACCATGAGAGATCCTCAGCAACTCAAACCAGTTTCGGCCAGCCTAATCAAAAGAAATCCAAAAAAGTGTCAAACATCATAGCTTACCAGGATACCGAGTTTCGGCCAGAAAGGGGCATTTTCGAATCAGATCTAGGCCTTGTTTGTAGAGTGAAATGGCAAGTCTGTTCCGAGACTCCAAAATCTTGAGACTTTTCGTTTGTTGTATTAAAAAGATTGATGTCTTCGTCCGGCCAGCTTCTCCCAAAGCAAGAGACCAAAAAGGATTTGGAAGATTCGAAAATGAGAGTTGTCTGATATGAATATGTATTTGCTGATTATCATCCATGACTTTGACTTTTTCCGCCCCCGGCTTCCCCTTTTCGGTGGCCGCTGCCAACAGAACTGTTTATGGCTTAAATATTACTGTAATGTATATTATTTGATGTAAATATGATATTTTTTAATCTCCATAACGCCAAAGTATTTTGATAGAATTACCATGACTCTCAATACAAGTAACTAATATAAATATATTTTCATTTACTATCCTGAAACTCATCATTGCATGATTTTCAGTTGTTAATAAATTTCAGTGTGATTAAATTTTTTTTAAGCCTAATTGTAATTCTCTCAAGCATTTTTTTAATAAAATTTATGCTATCTCATTGAATGGAAAAATACATATTTTTGCATGGTTTTTATTACATCTTTTATACTGTCGTTAATTTTGTAGCAACAACTCTCATATTTTTCTAAGCTATATATACTAAGTAAAAAGAGGAAAAAAATATTATAAGTGTGCAGATAATTTAATTTTGGAATTTTATACATAAGGTCTATAATTATTCCTCCTTGTTATAAGCATCTGTTAAGTTAAATGAATTTAGTTAAAATTAATTTTTTATTAAAATATTAAAATTAATCCATCAAAAGTCATTAATTAGAAAAAACGTGATCAACTAGTCAAAAAATTTTAGTTATTAGGTACTAGATAAAAAAAAAAGTAATACTTTAAAGTTTAAACAAAATATATTATATTATGAATAAATATACTTATGAAAAAGGCAGGGAGTAATAAATAATGAACAACAAATAATTTAATTTTATAGGGTGTATTGATGAGAGAAAATCCAAGATTTTTTTCATTTGGAATGATCGCCGCATTAATCACACACATTTATTGCGTTTTCAATTCATACTACCAAACTTCCATCCTCCCAAGTTCCAACTCAAAGATGAATCATCTGCATTTGGACCCAAAGGGAATAGACAACTACGGCAAACACTCGAAATTACTATACAACCCATTGACGTCTTCTCTCGTGATTTCGACAGGCAAAGAGACAGACAAGTTCTCCGTCAACGTTAAGAAACGGCGGCGTGCAGTTTATGGCATTCATCCCATGATAAATAATGAAACGGCTTCTCCGGCGTTTCTGTTTGACGGGTCCACGAAGAACAATACTCATTTTTCTTTTCATTAAAAAAAAAAAAAAAAGCTGAGAAGGAAGTCGAAAATATGACGATTGACGGAGAGGCACGTCATCGTGGGCTGTGCAGGTTCTTCCTCCCGTTCTTCTTCTTTCTCGATTCTGTGATGCTTATCTCCGAAGGTAATTTTTTTCATTTGGAATGATCGCCCGCATTAATCACACCATTTATTGCGTTTTCAATTCATACTACCAAACTTCCATCCTCCCAAGTTCCAACTCAAAGATGAATCATCTGCATTTGGACCCAAAGGAAATAGACAACTACGGCAAACACTCGAAATTACTATACACCCATTGACGTCCTTCTCGTGATTTCGACAGGCAAAGAGACAGACAAGTTCTCCGTCAACGTTAAGAAACGGCGGCGTGCAGTTATGGCATTCATCCCATGATAAATAATGAAACGGCTTCTCCGGCGTTTCTGTTGACGGGTCCACGAAGAACAATACTCATTTTCTTTTCATTAAAAAAAAAAAAGAGCTGAGAAGGAAGTCGAAAATATGACGATTGACGGAGAGGCACGTCATCGTGGGCTGTGCAGGTTCTTCCTCCCGTTCTTCTTCTTCTCGATTCTGTGATGCTTATCTCCGAAGGTAATTGAAGATGCCTTTTGATTTTTCTTCTCGAGCCTCTCTGTCCTTAACCATCAATTCCTTGTAATTTCTGACACGGTTTTTGTGCCCAAAGTTGTAGAATTTGCTTGCTTTTATGGTTTTTATGGTAAGGATTGAGTGATTCCCTCCTGATTTTGGAGGATTTTTGGGGATCTTTGGGTTTGGGCTACGCATAGTTTCCCTCCAGTGAGTTCGAGATCTCTTCCTCTCCCACAGTGGGCGGAGATTAAATAGACTCTTGGCCTTGTGTATGGGTATATATTCATCTTTGTTCTCTGTGTCCTTCCATGTAGTTTTTGCAGTATTTACTTTCATTTTCCTTTTGGCTTAATACAGAGTTAATGTTCTGAATCTTGTAGTTCTGGGCTTTTTAATATCTGCTGGAAGTTTGTTTGTCCTTTTCACAAGTGTGTGACGATTTTGTTATCTGATTAACAACTCTAGGGTTTTGATGGAGGTGTACGATGCGAATTAATGCAACGAAGGTGTTTGCAAGGTTGATTTCTCGCATTGCTTTTGCGATGGCAACATTCAGTCAACCAGTTGTAATTCTCATCAACGAGATGAGTTGAGTTGGGCAATTCTCCCCTCACATCTAAATTGTCAATGGAGAATCATCACCCATCTACGCTCTTAACCATGGATTCAAGTGCATCTTCTCACGAGGAACTGGATTTGGAGATGAATGGTCAAATCATACTTTCCCGTCCACCAGATATAAATTTGCCCCTCTCTGCAGAACGCAGCCCGCCTCCTCAGTCATGGAATTCTGACCCTTGTGACATATTAGATGTTAGTCTCGGTACTCAAGGATATGAAACTGAGAGTTTCCTCACCCCTCTTCCCAAAGGTGGAAAGAAGTGCTCAAAGCGAGTGATAGCATATGGGGAGCGTGGTTTTTCTTCAGCTTCTATTTTAAGCCGGCATTGAACGAAAATGCCAACGAAGGTGTTGCAAGGTTGATTTCTCGCATTGCTTTTGCGATGGCAACATTCAGTCAACCAGTTGTAATTCTCATCAACGAGATGAGTTGAGTTGGGCAATTCTCCCCTCACATCTAAATTGTCAATGGAGAATCATCACCCATCTACGCTCTTAACCATGGATTCAAGTGCATCTTCTCACGAGGAACTGGATTTGGAGATGAATGGTCAAATCATACTTTCCCGTCCACCAGATATAAATTTGCCCCTCTCTGCAGAACGCAGCCCGCCTCCTCAGTCATGGAATTCTGACCCTTGTGACATATTAGATGTTAGTCTCGGTACTCAAGGATATGAAACTGAGAGTTTCCTCACCCCTCTTCCCAAAGGTGGAAAGAAGTGCTCAAAGCGAGTTGATAGCATATGGGGAGCGTGGTTTTTCTTCAGCTTCTATTTTAAGCCGGCATTGAACGAAAAATCCAAGGCTAAGATAATCAGGGACAGCAATGGAGTTTCAGGGTTTGATAAATCTGATCTTAAGCTTGATGTTTTCATGGTTCAACATGATATGGAAAATATGTACATGTGGGTTTTCCAGGAGAGGCCGGAAAATGCATTGGGTAAGATGCAGCTGAGGAGTTACATGAATGGACATTCTCGCCAAGGGGAGCGCCCATTTCCATTTAGCGTTGACAGAGGCTTTGTTCGATCTCACAGGATGCAACGAAAGCATTACAGAGGCCTATCAAACCCCCAGTGTTTGCATGGCATTGAGGTTGTTCCATCACCCAATCTTTCGGGGCTTGATGAGGAGGAGCGAAAAAGGTGGATGGAAATCACTGGCAGGGATCTCAATTTCACGATCCCACCTGAAGCAAGTGATTTCAGTTCATGGAGAAATCTCCCCAGCACAGACTTCGAACTCGAGAGACCACCTCCCCCAATCAAGAGTGCTTCAAATGCACACCCAAAGAAGCTGCTCAACGGGTCTGGGCTGAATTTGTCAACTCATCCTTCCAACCACTGTAATGGTGATGTGATGGACCTATCTCCAGGCAATGGCAAGCGGAAGAAAGACTTGTTTCCTCATGGGAATGATGACGATTGTTATTTGCCTGTCAATCCCTCACCTGATCAGATTTCTGATATAGAAATGCATACAAGTGAGCCACAGTGGCTTTCTGACTTTACAGGGGTAATGAAGGCTGTGTATGGTCCTGTGACAGCTGCAAAAACTATTTACGAGGATGATCAAGGATACCTGATCATTATCAGTCTGCCCTTTGTGGATCTTCCCAGTGTGAAAGTTTCATGGAGGAATACACTCACTCATGGTATCATAAAGGTTTCTTGTGTGAGCATATCTGGGAAGCCATATATCAAGAGACATGATAGAACATTTAAGCTTGCGGATCCATCTTCTGAACATTGTCCTCCTGGTGAGTTTGTCCGAGAGATTCCTCTTTCGACTCGAATCCCTGAAGATGCCAATATAGAAGCATACTTTGATGGGTCAGGATCAGTTCTAGAGATCATGGTGCCAAAACTTCGTGTGGGACCAGAAGAGCATGAAGTTCGGGTCTGCCTTCGCCCTCATCTGGGAGGAAATGATCTTATGTTAACTTAAGATATGCTCTTACCAAAAAAATTAAGGTTGCCAAACTTGGTTGGTGTGTCATTGTTTTACTTTTACTAACTGTTTACCATACGGTGGCGTGTCATTGTTTTACTTTTACTAACTGTTTACCATACGGTGCAATGCAATTGTGCATGTTAGCGATTTTTCCCCCTCCCCAATTTATTGGTATTTGACTGTAATGGTGCTTAAATCTTTGAAAATCTAATTATGATCATTGATTTATACAAAGTTAGTGACACCACACATTGCTTTTAGTGGTATGCTTTAGATCAAACGAGCATGGAGGTTTCTCTGTAATGATAAATATATGAAAGATTAAATCATTATTACTGTATGATCTCCATCTTTCATCAAAAACAACTTGCTGTAATAGTGTATAATTTTGATATTATTTGTAAATTAATCTATATGTGAATGATGTGTGATGTTACTATTTTTGGGTTCATGGCTGGGAAGTACTGATTAGTGATGACCTGTACGCCAAATGATGATGACGATGATGGTGATTTGGATGCAGGGTTTGGTTCTAGTTAGGAAATGTCAAATATTTGATGCTATTATTGCTCTGTGTGAATGCGCGTCGTGTGGGTATGTGGTTAGTTCACAATGTGATGGCCGCCACTGTGGATTTTAATTGGCTGATTTGCTCTTTGCCCGAATGGTGGGCATTTTTTTTCCCCCCTCAAGAGTTGGTATGGTCCCTAATGTGTTTAGGAGTTGGTGGTGTAATTTTCGTCCTTTTCGGAAGACAGGACAAATAAAAACTCTTCAATTTTAAACACGAGTCAGAATATATTGTCAGCCACGAGAAGTTTATGTTATCAAATTTAGGTCTTCTAGACTTAAACTTCCAACTTTGACTTATTCCTAACCAAGTTTATTACGTTTCATTTGTTCTCACAAGACTTTATAATCCCATTTGACTCGTATCTTAATCAAGAGGAAGCTGCTCCTCCTATTTAATTATACTCGTTTTTAAGATTATTGTGCACAAATTAAGAAATACGATCAATATAATAAAAAATAATGTATTTTATCAAAACTACCTCTCGTTTCTTTTTGTGAATATTAGTAATAAAAATTAAGTATACGTGAGAATTTATTATAAAACCTAAAACCTCACAAGTAATTTGGTAAATGTGATTCATTGGGAGTTCGTTGGTGTCATGCTGGACATTTGCAAATCAATCCAGTTATCCAGGCAACAAAGTCCGACCAGTAATTTAGTACCTATAAATGTAGCAGTCATCAAAACAAAATTTTAATTTATTCTTTTAGTCCCATAGTGTATTTTCACAATCTTTTTATTTTGATTTAAAACAAAGTGAAAACAATTTTTTCGCAAAAACAAATGCAATAATAAAGAGGAGGGGGTACTATTGTGCGTTAATGAAAGAGCTGGTCGGGAAATTAAATAAATGGGTTTGGGACTTTAACTGTAATTTTCATATATATATGTGTGTGTGTGGCGCATAAGACGAAATCAGATGTATTTCTGGGTCCTTGATTGTCATATCGAATTGACGAATGCAATCCTACGCAGCTGTAACCACATTAACCCCGTGGGATCCTTAAGCCCTGCCGTCGAATCACCTCCGTGATTAAAACGTGTTGCCCAAGCAAACGAATCTCGCTGACCTCACTGATGCTGAATCACCCTCACTCTTTCGCCTCGTCCCCTTTTCAACGAAGGCTCGTTTTCACTGGTATAAGCCACCCTCCTTCACACTGTTATTTCTTTGACCACAACACTATCCCCCTATTCAAAGCTTAGTAGCTCTCGCTCTCTAGAATTGGGAAGCTTCGTCTCCCTCCCTCTCCCCTCAAGGGGATTTCATCCCAAATCCCCGATTTTTGATAGTCCTTTTTTGATTCTTCAATTGAAGGATTGAAGTATTGTTTTGAGATTTTTTCCTCCTAGCCAGAAGGTCGGATTTTTTTGGGATTTCTAGGTTTTTCCGGGAATTTTTCTAAGATGGGTTTGGAATCAGATTCCGACTGTTTCGGCAAAATGATGGCTTCGATGCCGGGGTTTCGCTTCCACCCTACGGACGAGGAGCTGGTCATGTATTATTTGAAGAGGAAGATGTCGGGGAAGAAGCTAAAGCTCGACGTGATCCGGGAGACTGACGTCTACAAGTGGGAGCCTGAGGAATTGCCTGGTATCTGCTTTGCTCTCCTGGATTCTTTTTTATTTTACCCCCGTTACCCTCTTTGCCCCCGGGAATTGTATAAGCGTTGACTTGTTCCCTGAAATGGATCTTGTGTTTTATTAGGTGTTTTGATTCTTTCTTTGGTTTGATTGGTTAAAAATTTGATTCGGTGTAATTTTAGATCTTCGTGTTTGAGTAAACTGGGTTGAGTCATAAATGGATTAAAATAGGAAGCGATTCGGGTTATACTTTGAATGTGTTTTGCTGAGTTGCTGTTGGCATGGTTCTCTCTTGGTTTTTGACCCCTTTCTTTTCCTCTCCCCTGCCCCCGCTGGAGTTGCTTGACAAATTATTATGCTATTTTTTGTTTCTACTTACAAGTCACATGTGAGTTTAGATAATTAATTAAATGGTAGATTTCTGGTCCTTTGCTGTGAGGATTTGTATTCATTATTCTGCTTAGGAGGACAAAGGCTTCCTTGCTATGACAAATCTAAGTTGTCCAAAATGGTCACATCCTCGGGCTTTGAGGGAATCAGGATCGATTCTGAGCACAGAAGTTGTGGTTTTGCATCTTCCTTTGCTAAAGTTTGCGGTTGCTGACGTAATGCTTAGAAAATTTAGATAGTCCACGATGCTACTATATTCCATCTTTCATATCTGATTCTTCTTATAACATATTTTATTTTAAAATTATTTTCATCTTTTTATTTTCTCTATTTTGTTAACTTCCCCTTGTTTAATTTCTTATACTGACAATTTGTAATATTTTGCAGCACAATCTCAACTAAAAACTGGAGATAGACAATGGTTTTATTTCAGTCCCAGAGATAGGAAGTACCCTAATGCTGCAAGGTCAAGTAGAGCAACAACACAAGGATACTGGAAAGCTACAGGAAAAGATCGTAATGTGACATACACTTCCCGAACAGTTGGAGTTAAAAAGACACTGGTTTTTTATAAAGGCAGGGCGCCTAATGGTGAGCGCACTGATTGGGTTATGCATGAATACACCTTGGATGAACGAGAGCTTCAAAGATGCCAGGGCATTAAGGTATCAGTTTAAGTGGTCCTCTTGTATTGATTTATTTCGTTAGTAATTTCTTAACCAAAAAAACTGTATTAATATATTAGCCTTAACACAGTATCAAAAATTTATTGCTGATGATGGGCTTTTTTATATACGTGAACAGGAGTATTTTGCACTCTACAAGCTTTACAAGAAAAGTGGACCTGGCCCTAAAAATGGTGAGCAGTATGGTGCACCATTTAATGAAGAAGAGTGGGCAGATGATGATTTTGTAGATCGTAATGTAAACTCAGCTGACTGTGAAGTTACAACACAGCAACCTGATGGCGTTACTTCTGTTGATGCCGTCAATGTTAATGATCCACTACAACCGTTGCTCGATGATGAAATTGAGGAGATCATGAAGAAACTTATGGAAGATGAATCTCTCCTCGAACAGCAAAATGTGAACAGTCATCCCGCCTTACCTCTGGTATGTAATGTTTCACAAATGTTATTTTATTCAAGTACTTTTTATTATTCGCAATTCTGAACAATGAATTGTTGATAAAGCTTCGTGATGTTGTGCCACCCATATCTGAATTGTGTTATTTCATATATGTTATTCCATCTTGCCTTTATCTGGACTTGAATGTTGAGTAACCGATAGGTTTTCATTGAATTATGCAGGGGGTTGCTGAGGAAACGCTGAATGGCGTGGTTGATCAACTCTGTAGGGAAGTCATGTTTCCTGAGCCATTTGGAATTTTTCACTTGAGCGGTGATCAGCAATGTGGAGTGGGTCCCAGTTCTGACTTCCCTCAGTCAGCTATTTCTCACCTGCAAATGTCTGAAGCTCCTGAGGTCACTTCTACTCCCAACACTAAAGGCACTCCCAACACTAAAGGAGCGGAAACTGGCTTTTGTGAGGATGACTTCTTGGAATTGGATGATCTCATTGGCCCAGAAGATGCATTGCTAAACATCAATAAGCCTGTGGAGAACCTGCAGTTTGAAGATGGATTAAGTGAACTTGATCTGCACCATGATGCGCAGATGTTTATTCATGACATGGGGCCAATTTCATATCCATATATGAACACTCTGGATAGTACTATCGCAGATCAAAATTATGAGCTGCTGTCCAATCAAGAAAATGAAAATCAAACTGGTGAACTCATGATGCATGCTCAAAGAAACATCCTGCACTCAGCAGAACCCATCAATATTTCTACATCTCTGCCAACATCAGGTATATTCAACAGAACAAGATAACAGACTTGTTCCCTGTCTTTGATTTGGATGAAGTGCAAGCATCATATCTCTGTTGTGTCCGAGGACATCACAATTTACTGCCTTTGGTTGACCTGCCTGCTGACGCATGGCAGAAAAAACCTTGCTGGAGTATATAAACTGCAGCATATTTGAGAGCATTTTCATACTAACATTGAGATTTGTGACTATCTGTTTCGACTGGGAAAATGTGATCTGAGCCCGTTTTCAAATGGCTCTTCTGTATAGAAATGTCATAGGTTTTCTTTCTCTAATATATGCTAGTTTCTGGTCATGTTTAGGTATATGTTATGAGTCTGCCAGCTTTCCTGTTGAAGGCAATGAAACTCAAGATAGCACCGTCGGAGGTGTTGCTGCAAGTAAATTATCTTCTTCTCTCTGGAACTTTGTTGAGTCAATACCAACCACTCCTGCATCAGCATCTGAAAATGCTTTGGTGAATCGGGCCTTCGAGCGGTTGTCTAGCTTCAATAGGTTGAAGATCGGTGTTGAGGAAACAAACGTTGCTGCAGGTAATGACACTGCAAGTATGAAGAGAGCGGGCAAGAAAGGGGTTATCTTCTTTTTCTTTCCGGTTCTTGTTGCCTTGTGTGCTTTCTTATGGGTTTCTCTAGGAACCTTAAGACTATTAGGTGTACCTAACTCTTGATGATGTAGGTTCAAAGTTTTGCTGCTGTGTATATTTTATCTGGGAAGACCCCGGAATTAAGAATGAATGAATGCTATTTTCTAGCATATTCTGAAAACCAAGAAAAAAATTGTGAATATTCTACTTGATATTAAGTTTTAGGTTAGCGTCAATCGGGGTAAGATTAACAGAAAGGGCCCTCGAAGGAATTCAGCAAGGGTTGCAGAATTTTTAGACAAATCTCATTGGAGTTGTAAAAAGTAATTACCCTGACGAGCTTTTTGTATTTTGGTATTCATAATATATATATATATTCCTTTCATTACTCCCTTTTTGGAGATTGGTTGTACATATATGAGGACGCGTTGGTGAAATTTCAGTATTTGTATAAAGTGTTTTTTGATCGTTTGTTCTGTCTGTCTGTATCTCTCTCTCTCTCTGTGTGGGCGCGCGCGCGTGTGGGTGTTTTGGGCCTGTAATCCTTTGTTAGTGCCTGTCGGCTATTGCTTCTTAGAATTATTTGCACATTTGACGGCTTATGTGTGTAATTTTTTTTAGAGTTAATTAAATATAATTTTTTTTCATCAATAAGATTTGAATTCTTAACTTTTTGTAAAAGGAATATAGTCTTTTGCCAATACCAATCACATTTAGTTTGGCAACATTTCGTTATGAACGATTTTTGTTTTTTTATAACAGCTAAACATATCATAGAGAGTTTGAAGAATAAACTGTAATATTAATAATTTTGCTTTTAATTTTACATGTTTTTTTCTTGGTAGGAACTTTTAATTTTACATGTTAATTCTAGTTCATTTATATCTTTTCTCTGAATTGTCTTCCTCTTCTGGCCCAAAAAAAAAAAAAAAAGGAATTGTCTTCCTCCGGTGCGGATTATTGCGAGGCAATGTATTTGCATTTCTTTTGGAAAATCGCTCGAGAAGCGGAAGCATAAATTTCAACAAATATCGCTCATACATGTATAATTTTTAATTTCGGTAATAATGTATTTTTGTCCGAAAATATTCATAATAGAGCGATGTGTACTTTTAAAAAACTTGTAAATGATGCGGCACATAAATTTTTGAAACTGATATGATGATGCAGCTTCCGAACTACTAACGTTACATTGTTAGTGCAAAGCGAGAAACTTTTCACCTAAGGATTGATTGAAGGTTGGCTGTGAAAATGAAAAATAATATTATATAAATTTTGCAAGAAAAATACTACTGCTCTTAATATAAAAACAAAATAACTAATTTATAAATATTAAAAAAATAATTTAGTTTTTATAATAAATAAATGTTGGATTTTTTAAAATATCTCTATTAATTATATGTATTAGAATAAAATCCCTCAACATGTATAATACTATAATCATAAATATGGGAAACAAAAGTGATTAGAGTTTTATATTTTGAACTAAATTGAATATTTAACTACCTATTATGTTTATAGAGAAGTACTACCTCCGATCCTAATTATAAGAGCTAGTTGACTAATTTGAGGAGATTAAGGAAAGAAATTCAGTTAATTATTTGTAATAAATAGATGTTGTCTTTCCTAAAATATCCTTGCTAATCAAGTATGTTGATTAGAACTATCATTGTTAAAAGGACTAAATTAGGGAAAAAAAATACATAAATATGATAGACAAAGTGAATTAGAGTCTTATATTTAGAACCAAAATAAAAATCAAACAAGATCTTATAGTAATATATTGTATCACAATTTCTTCAGTATCTCCAAAAATACTTTTAAAACAAAAATTTTCTTGTGCTTTGATTCAGAAGGACGATCAATTTTCCTTGAGCCATGCATTATGATGATCGCCAAGTGCCACCAAGTTTTGACGGCTTGTTCGTGTTCATTTCCTTGTTATGACTGCCAAAAGTTTAAAACAAAAAAGTCTTGTGAGATCATGCTAATAAAATCCAACCAGAAGTCTTAGATAGTTGAATTCTATATTTTTTCCCCTCCTTTTGCTAAGCCTGAAATGGTAGTGATCTATCAGATAAATTTGCATGTGTTTTAATGACTCTGTTGTTGAGTTATATATAGATTATACATAAATATCCCATAGATATGATCCCATGAATCTAGGAGTAGAATTGATAATCAAATCTGTATTGGCAATTTGTCTGTATCAGAACATAAATGCCACCAGAATTCAGAAACATGACTATCTGTGTTGACACTTGTTTCCGGGTTTTGCAGAGTATTTAAACCACAAAGGTTAAACATCTTTCTTCTAATAATCTGAAAATTTCCCAAACATAACATGCATGTAGAACTTGGAGAACAAAAAACATACACAATTTTGTTTGGATGACGATGACGATAGCTTGAGTTTTGACCCATCAAATTGTCGAACGAAGAAGCAAACCTTGTCCATGATTATATCAAGAAACTCCATGACTATCTGCGTAACCATGGTCATGTTGCAACTGATTGAGCAATTAATAGCTCAAGCCACTCATTATCCTCATCCTGAATGAGTTTACCAGTGTTTAAGTATTTTGAAAACTCCTCAAATGAGAGTAAAATAGCATTTCCATACAAGTAACAGTTCACTCATGCGAATGACGAAATCCTTTACTTACATCCTTAATTGTTACTTTATAATCCCCTGCATCAACAAAGCCATGAATGAAGCATCGTTTGTTTACGCTACATAAATAAAACCCACCATTAAAATCAAAAGATTGGCAGCCTTTCATGAAGGACTTGAACCAGCATATACATCTGCAAGGCCTCGAAGAGTTCCAACCCAAGTGGTTGGGAAAAAAAATAATAATAAATTCATCACCGCCTCAATTCTACTGTTAGATAGAAGAATGCAGAGAGTACATCTCATAAATGCTTTGTTAAGGGCTTCATCAGACCAACCCCACCTTCCAAACAATTCAACCTTTCTTTCCCATGAGAGTTTGCCCAGTCCCACCTTGGTGGCAAGTGCTTCAACCAAAGACATCTTTAAAGAATGAAATACCAATTCCTTAATATTAATTTTCTCAAGTCCCCTGCCATTATTCCTAGTGTTTAGATGCCTCGTTGATCTTCCCTAACTGCACAAGACAAATCTTTGGCAATGGCAGATAAGGAAGCATCTTTCTACAGTGACGACGACAGAGCCTCAACTTTGGTTCTCTGCATTAATTTCCAAATCAGTGAGTTGGTTTATTAAATTCAACGTCTAATTCAACTTCATCAGTGCTCAACTTGTTTGTGGGGGCTCCCAAGTTTCATAATTAAGATGCAATAAAATGGGTTGATAATGATGGGCCCATTTTTCATTTTAAATGTATAGAGGGATAACAAGTGCCTTCTTTTTCTTCTTGAAATACACACACACACACATATCACGAAACAGAAACATTAGTTCCATTAAAAAACAAACACATATATAGAAATTCAAAAAACATTATATCCAGACATAAACTAGGTGCCCATATATCCTGAGCTCAATTTGTAGATGGTAATTAATCCACATTGATTGCTCTCAATTTCTTGTTCTGTGGAGGTGTCTCTTTCTTAGGGATGGTAAGAGTCAAGACTCCTTCCGCCATTTTGCAACTGATCTGATCCATTTGGGCATTCTCCGGTAGCCGGAATCGCCGGATGAAGCTGCCACGCTGCCGCTCTACGCGGTGCCACTTGTCATTCTTGTCCTCCTGTTCCTTCACCTTCTCCCCACTTATCTGCAGAACGTTATCGTCCTCAACTTGTACCTTGAGGTCCTCCTTCCTCACCCCTGTGAACGTCGTCGTTCCACAAGTCATTGAGCTTACATAATATAGACCTCACTATTGAGCAGCCATGAGATATCATGGCACACGCTCCTATATATCACACAACCTATTCCTGCTGCCTCCTTTTCTTTCTTCATCAATACGCTCAGAATCTTGTTCTTGTGGAGATTATTTGTAGTCAATTATTTTTTGTAAGAATAAAAACAAGAGTGAAAGAAAATGACAGATACCAATATAGATATGGATACTTTTTATATTATTTACACGCCGTCATATAGTATAATCTAAGGATTAGATTCATAAGGTAAAACTTGAAGAATTTCAACTTCATGCGTCGTTTTCCCAAAAATATATCATACCAGGAAGATCAGCGCGGAATATATGAGCAGAGTCAGTCTCGCGCCAGTCGACGTGAGCATGAGCGAGAGCAGTGACGTCGCCGCCGCCGCCGCCAGCCCCATGGAGTCCAACGTCCCAGCCGGTGCGATAGCTTAGACGATCCCCACATCCGTGTAGGGCGACGAGTTCCACGCGCCCCGGTAGGGTCCCACCCCCAATCCATACTTCTCCTACTTTATCTTCGCGTTGGTTCTTCTTCTTCTTCTGATCACTCAGTAATGGCTGAATAGCTTCGTCTGAATAAAACGTCATTGAGTGTGGCGTTTTATATAACGGAGAAGGAAGAGAAAGAAAGCGTAGGGAAGACGGCAACGCCGCAGGCATGTCGGCGGCATTGCATTCCGATGGCCACGTACGATGATAGCAGCGTGCCACGTTCTTCAGTATTGCGCCACCTGGCAAGCTGTCGCAACTGACATCTGCTCTGCTTCGAAGCTACGCGGACACAATAACACAAAATATTGCGACATTTTTATCAAGAAAATTAGGTGATTTTCACTGTAATATGTAATATAACAGTGATATGCCAGACAAAAATTAGGTGTCACTTAAAATATTAGCTGTCGTACTAATTTTTTCCTTGAAAAATGCAAAAACAGAAAAGTGACTGGCATAGTAACCCAGAGATCTGTGCTTTTCTTATATTTTATATTAATCGAAGCTGCAAGGGATCTTCATCTCTTCTCTGCATTTGTCAATTGTACACAGCTGTCAATTGCGGCTGAGCAATTTGAGATGACTATCATTATTTTCACATTTATAGTTCATCGAAACAACTCCCATAAAGACAACCAAAATTTTTATGGTGGATATATTTCATTTTATTTGGTCCGCATATTCACTTCATTTGCGTACTAGATCACAGCATAATCCAAATATCTGAAAATTGGAAGAGAAAACCAGAGAAATCTTAAGAGACAGAAAGCTTTATGGCTTGATATATACAGTATACACACACACACACACTGATCAGAAGAATATGGAAGCTTGAGTTAAAACCAAAGCCTAGCCATGCTCACATATGCTGCCATAAATATGTTCATATGATGCTTTAAGCACTCCATAATGATTCAGTGTTTCATATGTATGATTTAATGTACATAGCTCGCTGGCTTTCCTCACTGATCCTTCTGTTTTCTTCAAGCCTCAAATTATAGCATGGTTTCCACTCTTTGTTAGATTTTTGAAATGTGAATGGATGGCGAGTTCTTGTTAATTTGAAATTTCTCTCTACTATTTGTCCCTGCAGAAAATAAGAGACCCTTCTCTCCCACTTCAAGAATATTCGCCAAACGCCCATTCAAAAGCGGAATCATGCTTGTTGGGGCTCTTCCTTCTGCAACATTCGCACCAAATACAAGTGAAATATCATTCTAATGCATAATTACATCACTAATGCGAGTTGTGTATCATATTTTTCAAATCATCTACAAGTTAGAGAGTGGCATTTAATATAAATAAAGTAATGTTATACTGACCTTTGGTATTCCATTGATCTGATAACAAGATTGTGCTATCATTCTCAGCATTGAACTTTCCTTGGAGTCATAGTACCCTGCACTTCTAATTTGTTTTTCTAGTTGATTTGCTCGTGCATAGAATGTGTGTTGAAATGCAGTGATTGAGTTCTAATATATAGAAAGAGCCGAAGGTGAGATGAGAAAAACATGGGGTATAATTTTCTGTTTGGTGGTTTTGAAAAGTGAAAAACTATAGGCTGGTTTATCAATTCTGTGTACTGTGTTGTTGGGTTTATAAAATGTGTGGGCAAAAGTTTGTCAACACTCGCTGTTGAATTACAATATCACAAAACTATTTTTATTTAATTTAAAAGTTATACAATATCAAAATAAATAAAAGTGACAACTAACTAATTCCTCATATATATATAATATGAGAAATTAATTATAATAAATTTGCTATTTCATGCATAAACTGTAAAAATCAAGCATTATAATGTGTCAATAATTTTCAAATTTTGAATAAAATTGTAATTAAAATAATCTTATTTTATTGCAAAAATATAAAGTACAAGGACATGAGAAATAAAATATAATTATATGTAAAAAAACATATTTTCAATATATAAAATAGATTTATAAGATAAGAATTACTTGTCTTTGATTTTGTGCAATGAATAAATGTACCCGAGCATTTTAGGAAATAAAATAAATATTTTTTAGATAAGATATCGTCTTCTTGAAATCTTGATCCTGTAGACTTGTTGTCATTGTGATTTCTTTTTAAGTTTGTGAACAAAGGATAGAAAAATATTTATGCTTTTGATAAATAAGTGATGATATATGATAGCTCTGTTAATAAACATATATTATAGTTGGTGATATACTCCATTTGAATTTGATGGGTTTATATCTATAAGACGCCTGTGTTGTTGAAAGCTGTGATTGATACTTTTTCTTAAATAAAAACGCCTGTGTTTTTCTCTATCAATAATATGCATATTATAAAAAGGCTATGATTTTAATGTACTCATTTTACATTTTGACTAAATTGACTTTTAATTTAAAAAAAAGGCTATGATTGGAAGAAATTCACAAATATAAATTAGCTGTCACTTTATTTATACTGAATTTTTTCTACCTTTCTTTGGAAATAGAAGTGCAAAACAGAAAGAAACCATATGTAATAAAATGCCTCTTATACTTTCTATATTTTATATTAATACCACGAAACAAATTATGAATTTTTTGCAAAAAATTATGGACATCATCATCATTATTTGTTATCGTTGGATTTTCACCACAATCCGTAGAGAAACTAGAAAGATACAACTATAAATAATTTGTACGTTATAATAAGCCATGATTGGAAATGATATACATACTAGATAAAAATTAGCTGTCACTTAAAATATATTTTAGCCGTCGTACTAAGTAAGTAAGAATGAGGTGGACAATGTAAGTGGTAATCAAGATTCAAAGCCTCATAAGGTATAAAAATTATTGAAACATACAACTATAAATAATAGGAAAAAATCCCCAAAAAATATTGTTAAAATTTAAAATTCCAAATTAGTATTGGTTATTACACTCTAAAAAAATGATTATACTCAAAAGGTAAATAACAACATATTTTTGTAGTAATTCCTGATTTGGAATTTTAAAATTCAATAGTCATTTTTTGAGGATTTTTGCTAAATAATATAACATGTATCATAAAATGCCATGACCAGATTCACAAATAAAAATTAGCCGTCCCTTTATTTAGGGTATTAGTTGTCGTACTAAATTTCTTCTTCTTCTTCGTTTCGGAAGACAGAAATGCAAAGTGGGGGGGGGGGGGAAGGCCATTTGTAGTAACAACATGACCCCTTACACATTTTTCTATATTTCAAAATTTATATTAGTTGATGTGATACGCGAAACAAATTATGGATGGTAAATTTCAAACAACTTGTTATTTATCCTTATTTGGCATCTGTAGTCAGGTAATATTATGAAGATGACGAAATAAACAGCTTGGTCGTTGGCCAATTTGTTATAAGTATCATTGTTTACCTTTTCATTTTTACAAAATATAGGAAACATCAATTTTTCATTTTACGGATTATATATTCCATTTTTTTTGTCCAAATGTACTTCAACAAAATAGACCAGGGTACTCCATTTCTCGAGATATATCTCTGAATCTGAACGTTGCCAAAAATATGGAAATTAGAAAAAAAAATCATAGTGACCTTTAGATCTCATTTGGTACAAAGCATTGAAAATGAGAGATAGAGACTATGATTATAATTGAGAAAAATCATTAAAAAAATATTTAGCATGAATAATGATTAGTTATATAGGATTAGGCAAATCCATGAAGGTGGGATAGGAAAATATCACTTCCCTCATCGTATTCCTTAATCTCACATATATGGGTTTGCTAATCCCATGTAACAAGCAATTTCTTATGCTAAACACTCTTTTAATATATTTTCTCAATCCTAATCTTAATATCTATTCCTTATTTTTAATACTTCATACTAAACGAGACTTTAGAAGAGCGATTTGATATACACACACACATTGTGATACAGTTTTGCTTTTATAGTCCTCTCATATGAAGGTAGCTTCACTTGTACCCTCACATGTTACTGTAAGTATATACTTTATTTTTGTGTTTAGTTCCATATGGATCTCTCCCCCTTCATCATCCTAACTTCTGATTTTTGATGAACAACACCCACGGGCCAATAATGGCGAGTTTGTGATTTATATCTTTCTTCTTCAATTGACCTCAAGAGAGGTACAAAACTATCTCTTCGTGATATTAACCACAAGTCTTTCCAAATTAAGGTAAAGCTATTCACATCTTAGAACTATTCCCTCATTCACATCTGCACCATCACACAAATAACTAAAATTGCATTAAAATTTTATATATATATATATATATATATAATAACTTCATGCATACCTTTGGCATTTGGATTCTTGTATATATAGTTGAAGGTAAGAAGACAAAAAAAAAAAATGGGGGTGTACTTTTTAATAAAGAAATAGCATGATTTTAGAAAGTAAAAAACTATATGCTGAATTTGTGAATTCTATGTACTGTCTTGTTAGGTTTATAAAATATGTGGACAAAATTTTGTCAATTTCTCTATGTGCTATCCTATTTGAGTTTAGGAAATCTGTGGGTAGAATTTTATGAATTTTATGTCTTCTGAGTTATGGTATCATAAAACTACTTTTATTTAAGTTGAAAGTTAAACAATATCAAAACAAGGTAAAAGTGAGACTAATAAATCATTTCTCTTTGATTTTAAATAGAGAGAAATAATATTGCATTCAATATTTTGATAGGTGGGACCAACATACTCACCCTCCCAGCATCCCTCCTATTGCAAGATGCTCCCATGACATAAGAGAAACTAGGACGAGGGGTTTGGCGTATTGAGAACGATATTTTTGTACATCTTACATGAATTACCTCTATGTAAAAATGGAAGTATTGATGATAAGGTTCCATCCCAACATGAACGCGAAAAAGATGGACGGAAGAAAGAATCACGTTTATAATTTTAATAGAAGACATATTTGGCCAAGTGAAGGAGAGGCCATATATTTATGTACGTGTGTGTGTTTATATATATTAGGAATCAATGAGCCGAACCACTTCTCTTCTTTTTTTAATCTCCCCCCCCCCCCCAACTTTTTTAGTTTTTTAATTAGTCTTGTAAGAAAAATAGTGTAATTTATTCGAGCGGGCTAGGAGCCTAAGAGGCGTTCCAGTGGGTTCTAATAGTGAAGTTTAACCGTTGGAGGCACTCAAAGCTAATCTTGGCTCTTGAGATGCGTTTATTGGACACCAAAAGAATTCCATCTACTATCTATTTTGAAAATTCCTTCCACATCAACTTGAATTCAGGTAATTTGATCTCTCTTGCTTTCATATCAACAGCTTCTATATAGAGTCGCTAATCTAAGTTTAGTCTTTTGTGAATATCAGAAAGTAAATTAAAGATAGATTATCAATGGGTGGTTTCAGCGAGAAGGAAGAAGCTTTGATCAGAATCTCATGGGAGGAATTGATGAAAAACTTTCCCCATCTCAGTCTTCGTTTCTTCACCTTGTAATAATTTTTTTGGGCATATATAACCTCCCTGTCATGTGTCTCTCTGTACTCTAATCTCTTTTAGTTCCCTTGGTCCTAATTTGCCATATTTTCTTCACCCTTTTTAATCCTTTCTGGTTTGGATATATACAGGATAGTCGAGATTGCACCTGAGGCAAAAGACATGTTCTCCTTTTTAAGGGATTCAGATGAAATTCCTCAGAATAATCCTCTGCTGAGGGGCCACGCTATGAAGGTTTTCAAGCTGGTATGTAATTTACTTGTGTGTGTGTGTGATGGGAAGTAAAACTCTGTAAATATATGTATATAAAAATGTTTAAGAATGGCCAGAATATAGGGCCAAGCAAATATGCAAACAATATTATGAAATGATCATATAATTAATCTTTGTTATACTTTGAAGCATCTCAACTATTAACACTGTTTACATATTCCTTTCATATAATGGCATAGTGTACTACTTTGTATAATGTATAATTGTGATTATGATGCATGGAATTCAGACATATGAATCGGCAATGCAACTTCGAGAGAAAGAAGAGGTGGTAGTAGAGGATACTTTACTGAAGTATTTGAGTTCTGTCCATATCAAGAACGGAATCCTTGATGCCCATTTTGAGGTAACATGCACATCAGTGTTAAATTTACAGATTACAATCTTAATTAAATTTTGTAATTTATGATATGATAACAAATGATGAGATTTTATAGATTCACTTTCATTTAACTCTCTATCTAATTTTAGCGGACGAAAAATAAAGATGAAGTTGACTAATAATGTTGTGTTTCCTATGCTATGAGATTTAGGCATCCATATATAAATACCCGATGCCAACATTCTTTTTTTTTTTTTTAAACTTTCACCTTTTAACTCAACAAAAACATTATGAACTCTAACAGAAAATGAAACTTTTTTACATTTATGTTACAATTAGTAAGTGCTAATTAGGACTTGTACGAAGGTACTTATCATCAATTAAACTGCAATTTTCCCGGCGATATGGAAGGAAATGGGGTTAATGTTCTTCTTTAGGAAACATGTGATATATATAGTGCTAAGTTTCATTATTGTGTGTGTATTGGAGTTAGTTAAAGAAATTAATTAAGGTGATTATATATATATAGGTGCTTAAAGAAGCACTGCTGAAGACAATAAAGGAAGCAATGGGAGATCGATGGAGTGAGGATATGAATAGAGTATGGGCTGCAGCTTACGATGGGTTGGCGACTGCAGTAAGAAAGGAGATGAAGGAAAGTATCGATGGAGTATTCCAGATTCTCTAAAGTTTTTCTTTATTGCATTACATATATATCAGAATAATCAGCCTGTGGTACATTATTATATATATTTATTGTAATGACCTTAAACTACAAGAAATTGTATTCTTCCCTCGTATCACACCCAATGCCACGCTCATGATGCCTCTTCTTTTCTGTTTATAAGTTCTTCGTGCTGTTACTGATGGAGTAGATTGGGTCTGATTCTTTGTTTAATTACACTTTTATATTGCAATTGTTAATTTTCTGTTATGCCAAGGGTCAAAAGTTGAAGAGGGGTTGCTGTAGTGTTTCAATTAGAACTTGATGATGTTCCTGTGACAATCAATAATCTTTGGAGAGTAGCGTAGAAATATATTCTGAATTAATCAACCAATGCGTGGTTGAAACCAAACAGTGAACCATATTGCCTCCTCGAATCCTAATAGGCCACAAATGCAGCAAAAAGAAGGCGATCCATCAAGCAAGTAGTTGTTGAGGCCGTAGTCCTCCTACAAATTCTCCAAGTGTGGCTCAACAAATTGCTAGTTCACCATCGAAAGATCCAAGCATATGTGCACCCATGCATATCAAGCTTTTCTTTAGGTAATTAAGAAAAAAAGAATCAGCGAATATAAAACTAAAATATGGATCAACTAATCATGCATCTATTATTGCAACAAAAAATCAATACTTACTCGTTCTAAATATAAAATCTAATTTTTAATATAAAATTTTATGTTTATTATTATTTTTTTGGTCAAAAAATTTTATGTTTAGAATGGCAGATGGTACTTCCCACAATGAAATGAGTTGGAACAACTAACTAGTCATATCGTGCCGTTTTTACAACACGTACCTAAAACCATGAACTATTGATGACATGGATCCACCATAGCATTGAATCTCTTTTCAAGCAAAACACAGCCTTTGCTGCTGAATAAATCACTGTATGTGCAGATGTAAAATTTTTAGAAAAAATTGCAAAAAAAAACCTTAAAAAAGAAAAATTGTAAATAGGAACCCATTATAATATTAGTATAGGTTTTGACAATAGTTGATAAGTAAATGACAATAATTTTTGTAAATGGGTTCCTGTATATAATTTTTCAATTTTAAAGGTCTTTTTTTACTATTTTTTCAAAAAAATTTTATGATCTACTTCCATCACACCTACAAGTGTAGAGGTTAGGGAGCGCAAATAGATTAATTAATGTAAACTATTATTATATATATTACCCCCATAAGAGAGAGAGAGAGAGATTAGGAAAAATAAAATAACAGAAAAGAAAAGAATTTTGGACTTCTACGACAACAAAAGTCTTGAAACAAAACAAGGTCTAAAACAACATGATAACATGGAAAAGAGGGAGCGATTTATTAAACGCATTTTATAGAATTTGAGAAATTAGCTACGCTGCGTATAATTTATAAATGATGTATTCCATTCATTATAGGTTTTTTATATTTTGATGATTTGAATAACAAGATCTAGCTAACAAATTAAATTAAATAGTGGCGAAAAGAAGGGGAGGCAAGAGACCCCCTTACCTTTTCAATTCTTTTTTCAGTAACATGAGGAGATTAAAAAAGTCACTTAATTAGAGAATATAAGGGCCCATTTAATGACATTGATTAAGGGTCGCATTATATTATTATATTTTTTGCCACCATATTATATAATTAAACAGATTAATTTTTTTATTTATATTAGTCTGTAAATTGTGGCTACATACAACGTATCAGTTAACTCTCATTTCTCTTCTCAAATTTTTTGTCTCAATTATACGTCCTATTTCTCTCTTTCTTTTTTGGCCATATTTTTATTATATTTATCATATTTTCATTACACCAACACAATGCCCCTGAAGTAATAAGAAAGCATTATTTAATTAGCAGTGGAAGAAAGAGGATGCACAGGGTTTTGATTCCAAAGTTTGGCCATTTAGACGCTTTGAAAAGCCAATCTTGGCTCTTCCATCTCCCTGGATCTTACATCTATTTTAAAATTTCTTTCCGCTAATGTGCGTCAATTCACACAATCTAATATTTTTTAGCTTCCATAATTATAACCCCAGACAAAAAGATACTCCACAATTCACAACCACAATATATATTGTGTTTTGAGAGCAAATTAAAACAAAATCAGATGTGTACTTTCGGTGAGAGAGAAGCGGCTCTGGTCAAAAGCTCATGGGATTCATTAATGCAAAACATTCCCCATCACAGTATTCGTTTCTTCACCTCGTAATATTTATCCTCTTCTCGTACCTCCTCATATTTTTCTCCGATGATCACTCCAATCTGAATTTTCTTTTTCCAAATCTTTTAATGTTTGATTCAATAGGATAGTGGAGATTGCACCTGTGGCGAAAGACATGTTCTCCTTTATGAGAGATTCGGATGAAATTCCCCAGAATAATCCCCTTCTTCAAGCTCATGCTATGAGGGTTTTCAAGATGGTAAGTTCCTAAAAACAACTAACAATTTTCTGATCATATTTTCGTCCTCATCTTCCTCGATATGAAACTTCAACATATATATAAAGCTGCAACGTCCTAAGCTATTTTAAGACAAAATGTTCATGCTTTATTCATATATAGTTCATGATATATGATAATTTCCATCATTATATATAATGTGTCAATGTTGTGATTTGTCAATTTTAGACTTATGAATCAGCGATACAACTTAAAGAGAAAGGAGAAGTGGTAGTAGAAGATACTACCTTGAAGCATCTGGGTTTTGTCCATGTCAAGAAAGGAGTTCTTGAACCCCACTTCGAGGTATATGTACAAAATATATGTGAATATATATAGTTGAAACTTTATTATTTATGTATGCAGGGGTAATTAATGAAATTATTGATAAAGTGATTGTAATGTTTGAATTAGGTACTTAAAGGTGCATTGCTGAATACAATCAAGGAAGCGGTGGGCGAAAAATGGAGTGAGGATATGAAAAACGCTTGGAGCACAGCATACGATGAGTTGGCCACTACGATAAAAAGGGAGATGACTTTTAATGTTGAGGGAGTTGAATTTCTCTTGCAACCTGAAATTTAATTAGAGGATGCATGTAAAATTTATATAGATTCATGATTCAAATCCAAAATAAAATAAATAGCTATAAATAGTGAAAGAAATAGAACTCACATATGTGGCATCTTTATAAAATGGAGATCCAGTTCCACTTCTATGCCTGTGTGTGTGTGTGTGTTTTTTTTTAATTATTCAGTTGCAATAATCATCCTATCTTACAGAATTAATAATTAAGAGTAGCTAGCTCATTAAATTTATTATAAATTAAAAAATAATTTTACCTCTATTTAAATCTATCTCACTTCCCTTATCTTATATCCAACATGTGCTATCAATAAATAAAGATAAAATTGACATATGGTAATTGAGTGGAGTATCTTCTTAAGCTGACTTATATTATGAACTAAAAAATCTTTTAAGAGGTTCCACTAAAAAAAAAAGGCTTTTAAAAGGCATTCTATATTTTGGGTAACTAGCCCAATCTTATGGCCCATTGCAACCCAAAAAAAAAAGACGATGTGACGTGGCAGTTTGTGAGTGAGTGCGACCAGTTCGGCCTTTCAGCGTCTCTCTCTTCTCGCCCGCGCTTTCCCGAAACGTACAAACCGGGCCCTTTTAATCCAACAGCACTGACCACCACCACACTTGTGGCAGCAACGCATTCACTCTACGATTTCTCTCCACCACTCTCCTTGCTCTGCCTCTCTCAACTCCCAACCTCCAATGGCCGAGACCACTATCCGATTTGGCATCCTGGGCTGCGCTGACATTGCCCGCAAGCTCTCCCGTGCCATCACCCTCGCCCCAACGCCACCCTCTACGCCGTGGCCAGCCGCTCCGTCGACAAAGCCACCGCCTTCGCTTCTGCCAATGGCTTCCCTCCTGGCTCTAAGATTTACGGCTCCTACGAAGCGCTCCTTGACGATCCCGACGTCGATGCCGTCTATGTGCCGCTTCCCACTAGCTTGCACGTGCACTGGGCCGTCCTCGTCGCTCAGAAGAAGAAGCATCTGCTTCTGGAGAAGCCTGTGGCTCTCAACGCTGCTGAGTTTGATAAGATCATCGAGGCCTGCGAATCCAATGGGGTGCAGCTCATGGACGGTACCATGTGGATGCACCACCCTAGGACCGCTAAAATGGCAGAGTTCTTGTCCGATGAGCGTCGCTTTGGTCGACTCCAAAAAGTACGCAACTTCAGTTGGCACTCTGCTATTTTCTATTTTGTTCCGATTTCGTTTGAGACTTAATTGATATCCATGCTTGATGAAATGCACTTCTATCACTAGCTGGCATTCTTTCGTGTTTGATGTCTAGCTTGGAGCTAATTTCCTATTCGGGTCATTTGGAGGGAAAAAAAAACAAAAGCTTAAGAATATAAAAGGGCTTCACAAGATCTATCTCTCGCTTGGGTTAAGGTCATAATATAACACTAGAAAGTATGTTCGGTACCCCCATCGTTTTTATGTGTGATTTTCGGTTGAGATATGATGATCCAGACTGGCAAGAACATCTATCGATTTGTTTTGTTAGGCACAGGTATATTCCTATTAGAGGCAAAGGCAATCCTATTCCGGACAATGTTAAGCACTAAATCCAAATCCGGTGGGTCCATTTGATTTGATTATATTGAGCTAACATGTTTAGAGATTTTGTAATCAGCAGCAATTCTGAGTGGACGCAAATCCAGTTGGTCCATTTTTCTTGTTCCAACCCCATTCTTAATTCTAATTCTGTTACGTGCTTATCATCATAACTTATTCCTGGACGTTATCATTACTGTCTTATGAAATTTGATGGGTGATTCGCAGTTTAGTCGTCAACTTTGTTTATGTGGGTTATTGAAATTTGGGATCAGAAAATTATCAAATTCTATTTTAAAAAGTTAGGTTCATTATAGGTACTTCATGGTTTAAGTTGCTTTCACTTTGCTGCCTTGTGGTTCCAGAACTCACATTATTATGCTACCCTGAGGTTTGTCCTGTACCTATAACACTGCCCACTGCATTTAATTAATTCTTTTAAATCTCAAATTGATATATCCGAATCTCACGATTTCCCCTGTTTTCGGTCATTTCATCTGATCTAATTCTAATTGATTCTCAATATCCTGTGGCCCTTCTCTTTTTAACCAAGCCCCACATTCCCCAAACTCTTGGCTAATTGGCTAATAGAATTCAAACACCTATTGCCCTAATTCCTAGATAAGTCACCCCATGAAACAATGGCATTTTAGACTGCAGGATCGGTTGTTCAGTTGTTTTCTGGTTCACGGGGCAATTTTAGACTCCTGGCCATTATAGATGTGTTTTATGTTTTGATTGTTTTCTTTTGCTGAATGTTGTCTCATTTCTATCTTAAAGGTACAAACGGTGTTTGCATTTGGTGCTGATCCCGATTTTCTTAAGAACGATATTCGTGTGAAACCAGATCTTGATGGTCTTGGTTCTCTTGGCGATCAAGGTTGGTATTGTATAAGGGCAATCCTGTGGGCTGCCAACTTTGAACTACCTAAAACAGTTATAGCCTTGCGTGATCCTCAGCGCAATGAAGCCGGGGTAATATTGTCTTGTGGAGCTACTCTGTACTGGGAAGATGGAATAGTTGCAACCTTCCATTGCTCCTTCTTATCACATCTGACAATGGATATAACTGCTATCGGGACAAAAGGAACACTACATGCTCACGACTTTATTATCCCTTACCAAGAGAAGGAGGCTTCATTTTCTGCAGCTTCAGAATGTAGCTTTAATGATCTTGTGACAGGATGGTCTGAAGAGCCAAGCAAGCATATAGTAACCACAGAGCTGCCTCAGGAGGCCCAAATGGTGAGAGAATTTTCCCGTTTGGTGGGTGATATCAAGTTTAAAAGTATGAAGCCTGAGAAGAAGTGGCCAACTATTAGTAGGAAAACACAGCTCATAGTGGATGCTGTGAAAACTTCGATCGAGAGGGGTTTCGAGCCTGTTCATATTCAGGAGCAAGCTTCTGTCTCTGGTTTATCTGGACTTGATTATCTGAAGAAAAATCTGCTGGGGCAATCTACATAAATAAACCATTCGGAAAATGATGTAATGTCTAACTACGTTCATTTCTGTCATCCTTTCAACAAAGTCATTGATGTTGATTAGGTGAACGGAAACAAATTCTTGTTTGTGAGCTGAAGTGTATTGGGTTGTTGAAATCATGCAATGTTGTTCCTTTCTCTCTGATGAACAACCAGTTTTTTTTTTTGGCGTTAATTTAGTCCTTAAATTTTACTTTTGTTTGCATCAATAAATTCACATGGCAAATACTTGTTATTGTAGGCAATTGTTATGTATGCTTGATCAGAAAAAATGGGTGGCATTTTGGTCATCACGTGACTTGTTTTCTTGATCTTTCCATGTTCCCTCTTTCCACATTCCTGATATTCTTAGATGGAGATTCAAGGAAACCTCAAACAAAACAATTCTTCCAACTGTTATTGAATACTCCAGAGACTAGAAGATCTGGATCGAAAGACTTGAAGCCACGAAAGTGATAGTTAAGACTAAATGATGGCCATTATGTCTGTCTCTTTCTAATTTCTACGTGTATGTCTGTCCCTATTCCTATTCCAAGCCACTTTGCATTTTTCTCTGTCACTTTGGAACCGATTAAATGCCATTGGGTTTGGAAGAAGTGGGCATGGAGCTCATATGGTGCCGGTGGCTTGAAATCACCCATCTCAAAAGCAATGTTGTTGGTGTCCACCTGAGTGACTTGTCTCTAAATGGTATCCAATGGACACTCATCTAACCCTGGAAATGTGACTGGGCACTGGGGAAAAGCTTGAACGATGTCTTCTCAGAGTATTGCATCTGGAAATAGTAATGCGCCATTTGTTTCAAAAGCCCTTGATCATATGCCTAATTTCCATCTGGACTTTGAAGTGAGGGTGACTATTTTCCCATTCGAAATTTCCGAAGGCCCAGTCTAGACGCTCTTGTTTTTTCAGGTGAAATTAGGATATTTTCAACTTATATTAGATTTGAGACTAATCCGTTTCAGGTTAGAAGCAGCCTTGCTAATAAGTCTTCTTTTCAGAATATAAACTTACGTACCTTGTTTTTTTTTCCTTATAAAAGTGAAGCCGCTACCATATTAATTAACCGCCGTCTCGAAATTCTTTATTTGACCCCACTTTTCTCCCGTGTAAAACGGTCATCCAGTGAAGGGACAACCTAATTAATGAGATGCAAAATTCTAATGTGACATGAAAAGAAATAAAACATATTTATATAAAAGCTCTATCTTTTTGAAAAATATATCTAACGTGTTTAGATGGAATTAAAATTATAATTTTAAAAATAATTTTATGGTATATAAAATAAATTATAAAAAAATTTATCTGAATTTGAAAAAAAAATACTTTTAAAAAGTATTTTTATGATACTCAAACACTCCGTAATCATGTATTTCAAACCAAATCGCAACGTACACAGACCGTGGCCTATTTAGGATCACAATTAAAATAAATAGTTTTATGTAAGTTGAGATAAAAAAAATTTTTACATATTTATTTCGTATTTCGTAAGTCACAATTAAAAAATTATTTATAAACCATTTTAAACTGACCCTGTATATTTATATATGTTATACATATTACATCTTATATGTTATTTAATGAAAATTCCTTCATAATCCAACTTCTTCTCAGCATAACCTATCATTGCTATATTTTCTTCCCTTCTTACGTTGGCTTCCAGTTAGTAACCAAAAACTATAGACGGATCGGGTAAGAATTTATAAATCGTGGCTCCATGATCTGCGAATGATCTTTCTAAAATTTGTGTGACAAATGTGCCTCTGCAATTGGAAGTCATTAAAAAAAAATGACAGATGGGTAAGCTGAAACAATGATAAAATATATCGTTATTATATTATATAAAAATCAATGCTATAGAATTTCTATTTATCTTTTTCTTTGCCGGCTGTTTTTCTTGTTCTCTTTTCTTCCCCCCTCCCCTGACTTGTTTCGTTTTCCAACCGCTCCCAATCCCACATGTGAGGGAATTGCTTATACACTAGTATAAAACACACACACACACACGGAAGACCCCAACAAGAGATCATAGTAATGGAGCCACGCGCCGTGCTCTTGTCCATTGCAGTCTCATTAGTCATAACCTGGCTTTTCTTGAACCGCCGACGATGCAAAGACCGGCCACCTGGTCCCATCCCCCTCCCCATCATCGGCAACCTCCTCCAGCTCGGCCCTAAACCTCACCAATCTCTCTCTGCCTTAGCCAAAACCTATGGCCCTCTCCTCTCCCTCCAGCTCGGCTCCGTCACGGTGGTCGTCGCTTCCTCTCCCGACGCCGCCAAGGAAATCTTCCAAAAGAACGATCAGTCCTTCCCCAACCGGCCGATTCTCGAGTCTGTTGCTGCTCAGCCCAACGTCAACGACACACTCGCTTGGGCTCCCGCAGACAACAGGTGGCGCAACCGCCGCCGCATCTGCACCACCCAGATATTCACCGCTCAACGCCTCGACCTTCTTCAAGACTTGCGCCACCGTAACGTCCACCAACTCATCAAACACGTTCAGAAGCGCTCCGCCACAGGAACTCAGGTGTTTAGAAGTTAAAATTAGTGAGTAATTTAATTTAATTTTGTTGTGTCTGAATTTGTGACTGACCGACAGAAATATTCCTCTTGACTGTAAGGTGGATGTAGGTGAGCTTGCATTCGCCACCATGTTAAACTTGGTTTCGAACACTGTCTTCTCGGTGGATCTGGTGGATCCAGAGTTCGAGACGGCCGGGGAATTCAAAGAGCTCGTGTGGAGGATCATGGAGGACGCCGGGAAGCTGAACCTCGCGGACTATTTTCCGGCGTTGAAGAGGTTTGACTTGCAGGGTGTGAGACGCCATGTGAGGGTTTCCTACGAGAGGTTGCATGAGATATTCGATGACCTTATCCAGAAACGTTTGAAGGAAAGAGAGGACTCAAGTGCTCTGCGAAATGGCGATTTTCTGGATGTTTTGCTCGACCATTGCCAGCCGGAGGATGGATCAGATTTCACTGTTGAAAGCATCAAGCCATTAATTCTGGTAAGCATCATATATCAAACATTCACATAAGTTGTTTGGTTATATATGCAAAAAATTAATTATAAATGGATATAATGTTTATTTTTCACCCATATAAATATGTTTAATTATCCATGGATTTAATTTTTTAAAAAAAATATATATGTTTATTTATTAAGTTAATAATGGAAAATCTTTAAGATAGATTTGGAAGGCATAGGGCCCAGAGACTGGGAGGGTGATATGATAATAACTTAGGTATAAAGTAACTACGTATTATAATATAAGGTATAAACTATGTCTATACAAAGTATATGACGAACCCCGGATGGTTCAAATGAGGTTGTCACTTTGAGCACGGTTCTCCGTTTAAGTTTTGTTTATAGAAAAAATTATCGTTGACAAGGTTTATAAATGTGATCTAACTTAAATTAAAATTTATATTAGTCATATTCCAGCGTGAGTTGTGAAATAAGACGGTATTACACACACAAAAAAAGGGAAGACTCGAAAGTAGTACGCACACACGTGGTATAGCATGATTGGGGACAAGTGCCATATGGTCTCATGATTGACACATAATTGCTCAAGCCAAAAGAGTAGTTGAATTTCTCCATGTAGGCTAGCTGAATATTGAGATGATTGTTTATAGTCAGATGGAACCAATATATATATATATATATATATATAGTACTAACTACTCCACAAGATTGTGTTTTTAAAACTGTTCCTGTTAAAGTAATCAATAATGTTCCAAATATTCACAGTTCATAACTAATATAAAATATAAAACCGATACCCACTGACAATAATCTGGGGAAAAAAACAGGATTTATTCATTGCTGGGAGTGACACCTCAGGATCAACCACAGAGTGGGCAATGGCAGAGCTTCTTCGAAACCCAGAAATAATGCGAAAAGCCAGAACAGAACTTAACCAAGTGATAGGAAACAACATCGGCCAAATCAAAGAATCAGACATCCCTCGTCTTCCCTACATCCAAGCAATTGTTAAAGAAACCCTAAGGCTTCATCCTTCAGTGCCTCTTCTATTGCCTTACATTGCAGCAAACGACGTCGTTGTGACTGGCTACACCATCCACAAAGGGGACCAGCTCCTGATAAACGCATGGTCCATTGGCAGAAACCCATCCTACTGGGATAACCCGACGTCGTTTCTGCCAGAGAGGTTTCTTGCTGGGTCTGCCCCAGATTTTAAGGGCAGGGACTTTGAGTACCTGCCATTTGGTGGGGGAAGAAGGATATGCCCAGGCTTGCCCCTGGCTAATAGGATGATTAGCTTGATGGTGGCCACTTTGGTGCATTCTTTTGAGTGGGACCTTCCTAAGGGTATGACTCCTGAAACCATGGACATGAACGAGCAGTATGGAATCACGTTGAAGAAGGCTGTCCCTCTTTGTCTTGTTCCTAAATCTGTATGAATCATTATCAAGGGAATATCACTATATATATATATATATATATATATATGTTTGCTTGCGTCTGTATAAATATATTCGGATCTGCACATGCCTTTTTTCTTTTTTTTTTTTTTTAGTTTAAAGCTCCTTAATTATGAGTTATGAGAAATTAATTAAATGTTTTAATGCGGCAGTTAAGAGGTTTGTTGGTGATGTGAGGTTTTTTATACAAATCAGCACCTCTATATATAGATAGACTGTTCTACAAATTATTCAACCATCTAACTAAAAGCCTCACATTATTACTCGATTTAATAATTTGAAATTGAAATATTACTCCAGGGATAGAAAGACAGATAAGTACATACTGATTATTTTCCTTTAACAATCACAGAACTGATTATTGAATCGCATTTTGATCAATAATCATACTCATAACAATTATAAGCCGCCATTAATTAATAATAGCCATTTAATAATAACATATTGGGAATCATCAAGTATGCAAGCCACCTAATAAACCATTAAATCTGTGTGTGTGTGTGTGTGTGTGGGCCTTAACCATAAGCCTGATTTTAGGAGATCTTGTGGCTTTAGCCCAATTTTTAGGACCCCTGCATTGAGCTTTTCGGATTGAACAGCCCATGGATATAGGCTCTCATTTCATTCCCAAAAGTATACTTAGACCTTCAATTATTTTCAATTTGAGGACTTCATTTTCTTGACCTTTTTGGGTTATGTAAGAGGCTCGCATATTCCCTGGCTAGCTAATAGCTTCTTTTAAATTTTTTAATTTTAAAAAATATAGCGAACAACTTCATGTTCTTAACACCATGGATTCACTTAACAAATCTCTTTAATTTATAAGAATCAAGATCTCTTTTTTTTTTTCTTTTGCCTGATATAAGAATCAAGATCTCGATATATAGTACATAGTTGCAGTACGTTTTAATCTTAGAAATATTTCTCGAGAAGTTATGATCACTTCAAAAAAAAAAATTGCATAGCAACGCAACACAAAAATACGGGTTATGAAATCTTTTTCACCTAACGTTGACTGGGGAAAAAAAATCGCTTCTCCAATTAATACTTCTGAGGGGGGAAAAAAACCACTTTAACCACTATTTAATATAAAATCTATATACAAAGATTCATAAAATATGTCTTTGTCCTTCTTGTAATAACTTCCCAAACAAAAATGACATATCATGAAAGACGTGTAGTATCCCTTGATTAATTAAACCATTTTCATGAGAGTTTTTTTTTTGGATTATTATAGGAACTCGTGATAGGATCGCTACCTGCAAAATATTTGATAAATATTCAATGAGATATTGAGATCACGGTAAAGAGAAGAACGGATGTGTAGAAAAAGAGATGCCAGTATACTCAAAATATATTTATATGAAGTTGATGGTCCACCTATTCAGGATATTATAAAAAGATGCTATCAGTTTAACATTTATTAACTTCTCTGAACATACGATCAGAAGTCACAATCCAATCTCGCATTAAAACGTCTCTAATTTTTTGAAGAGGATTTGAAAGAGGATGATGAGTATGAGAAGATTGGTTGTAGATGAGCATGGATGCTTCAATGGAGTACAAATAGCCGGTAGCTTTTAACAAATAGTATGTCCTTTTAGGATACCCAATAGCCCAGTTAAAATGGTCCCGTACGCTACAGATGTATAAATCTAAATGGTTCTATTTAACAGTCACATAACACATCATTCTCTTCTTCACTAAGCTACTGTAAATATTCAATTGAAAAACGGGATTCAGGTACATACTTAGGATCGAGAAGAATGCTTGGAACAATTTTAAAATATATATATATATGAGGCTCATTAATTGAGTGCTCGGATTCTGCTCTGATTTCCCTCAATTTAAGGTTGTGCATGTCAAGGAGGGGAAGGGGCAAAAACCGTACGTAAATACTAATAAATTAGTGCCGCATTACCTTTTCCCTAACTTTTCAGACAAAAACTATGACTCTGCTTCATACAAATTCTAAAGAGATTAAATTGATACACATGTCTGCACGCACCCACGAGCACATATGTGTGTTTTCCCAAAATGGGAAAATAGATTTTCTGTGCTAAAAAATAGTTTTTTTGTGTGTAAATTTTGGTGGAAAAATTTGCAAATGTATTTTTTTTTTTTAATTTTGTCCTTGTTCGGATAAACTTGCGAGATTTGCAATCAAGGATGCCTTCCACAACCCATAAATTCACGAGGGATCTTTGGATTTTAACCAATTTTTTTTTAAAAGAAATGGATTGAGAAGATCGCACCCACTAAGCTCTCTCGAAAATTTCAGTTTCCATCTCCCTATAGTTTTTGTATGGCAAATCGCAATAAATAAAACATATATATAACTGAAATAACTTTATACTCACTTTATGAAACACATAAATTAATAGGGAATGTAGTTTTGATCGGAAAAAGAGCTGACTTTTTGTGTTATATTAACATTAACCTTCTCCTAGAGATGCAAGCTTAATTGAAACACTAAATATGGATTAACTCTATAAACACACTAATCAAGGCCACAGCTCACAAGGGTATCACGTCCGTTTATATTGTTTTAAACTTTGATGCGCAATGTCTTGCGGTTGAAGCATATAGTACTATATATTCTTATTCTGATGACAAAACGAATCATAAAATTCGTAACATTATAGTATTCGAGATATTTTAGGCGCACCAACGTGGATGTCTGGAAACCATGCATTGGACTTGGACTAGTTTATTGAAATATTTTGGAATGCGTTATTTGATGTTGGAATATGGATCAACACGTACCTTTCTGTCTTGCAAAAAAAAACTCATAGGTCGTATATACTTTTCCTTCTAAGATATATCTTTCTCGTATGGCCAATCATTGTTATCTACTTGAACACTAAAAAGATAAGGGATTTCTGTCCGAATTTTTCTTGTTATGAGCTGTCTAAATTTAACATTTTCACAAATCTTCTCTAATGCCCTTTCTGAATACTCGACAGCAAGTATTTTTTTTTCCCCTCAAAAAAGGAGCTATTAAAATTTTTTTTAGTTAGAGAATACTAACTCCAAAAATCGACGTTGATATATATTACGAGCATCACAAGCTAAGAATTGAAGACGTACGTACATGTTCACCTGTCCAAAGATATTTTGGCAGAGCCAAGGAAGGTGGCAAGGAAATTATCGTAAGTAGCAGCTTATGACTCCTTTTTATATTCAAGAAATTATTGTTTGAAGAGGAGACGACTTTTGAAATGTGCTTGAGGAAATGATGCAGTGTGGGAAAATCACATGTTCATTCGTTGAATATATATATTCCTTTAGTCATATTTTCTCTCCTTAACTTATAGTAATTTAACTTCATAATAATATACACGCTATAAACTCATCGTTGTGAATTTAATGTTCAGTATGCCTTATCAGTGCATCATCGGTTTCTTTGATGTGCGCAGAATGCAGAAAAATAAAAGCCTTATGCTGTGCTAACAATCCCATGAGTCGTAATGTGTGCTATATGTTTGTTAAATTACTTTAAGATTAAATTTAATCCAAGTAAGGTGGTCTAATATCAGATGCTGGGGCTGTAATTAAGAAGACGCGAGATGATCGGACGTGGAAGGTCCAGAAAAAAGAAAAGGGCTGACGGGACGTGATTATCTAGAGGGAGGACAAGTGGACAAGGCGCATGTGGGGGGGAGGAGATCACGTGACAAGGATCAGGCAGCACGTGGAGGCCCGGGCTTCCCGTCCCGCTCCCCTCCTCTTTCCGTTGTGGGATGCGACATTCGTGGCGACCCTGCCTTGCCGCCGATATTCAATTCTCTGCTCTAATTAATTACTTATCAATCTTCTCCGACCATTAATTTTTTAGGTCGGTGACTTTCCATGTGCTCCTCATTATTACTCCTTCCATAACCTTTAACCCCCGATCCTCTCTTCTCCCATTAACTGACCCATGACATATGCGGGTGACAAGTGTCCCGTCGCATATACCATATAGTTTTCCATAGACTAAGTTAGGTCAAATTCAAAATAACTCTTAAAAATAATTTCTTCATTCATATAAATTCATATTCGATAACTCGCACTTAAATAGCCAAAAACCTATATTCACTGAGAGCAAAGCCTGCTAGTTATATATAGTCATATTATATTTTGCCTCCAGATGCTTCTAATTAATAGTTTTGAAAACATTAACGTCGTTTTTACTTCAAAGTGGTATGCATAACCAGTGGAGATCTGGTCTAGTGAAAATGGCTAATCTATCACAATATAATAAATAAATGTTTGAATCTTTGTGGTGAAAGATTTCTATATTCAGTAATCCATAATATGTCAAATACGATTATCTCCAATAAAAAAAATAATTATGCTTAGGAAAAAAACAAAGTGGCATGCGGCGTAATGAAATAGGTTGGGTCTAATGAATAGAATTGGCTTTTCTTTAGGCTGTTGTAATTTGTTGATTTTTTTGGTTACTAAATGATATTTCCCATTTTCCAAATATAAAGAGTAATAATTGCTATAATATTCATTATATAATAAAATAAAAATAATGAGGACTAAGAAGAGGACGAGATCTTGGATGGATACATTTATTCTTATGGTTTTTTGGAATATAAAATCATTTTTACTTTTCTTTCTTCGAATCCATAAAGTTTATTTTAAATGCATGCATTGTAAAATATTGTTGATAAAACTAATTATAATGGTGACTAATGTTAACGGGATTTTTTTCAAAATTAAAATTACTCAAATCATATACTATGAGATTACCAATATTATAAAGACAGATTGAACAGACTAATCCTTTGAAGCCCCATCCCGTTTGCATGAGATTAATTAACTGAGATATTCTGTCAGTCTTTATTATTATTAATCAACAACATATGTATTTTTAATATAACAATATAAATTATTCCATTTCTGCGATCGATGACCAGTTTTTTAACATCCACGTGTACCTCTGACCTTATTTCGACGCAATTCATGCATGCACTAGTATTTATACCAACGTTGCCCAGCACTCTTCACTCAAATCATTCCACTCTCCTTCATATTCACCAACTCTCGTGCCTTTGTTCTTTCTTCATACCAAATGGCCTTTTCTCCATCATCTTCTTCGGACACAACCTGGTGGCTCTTCACACTTCCAGCCATAACAGGAACCCACCACT